AAAATTAACCCAGGCCTTTTAACCAGAGGCTCACGAAAACAAAAGTACGTGAATAAACAATACTAAACTTCCTCCTATGAACACAATAGGTTTGTCTGACAAAAACATGCCACAGTGCTGTTCCACACTGTTGGACCCTCTGATCCCTGGTATGCATGTGACTTCATGGCCTGTTTCTCTGCCCTAACACTAACTCTGAGAAGATTCTGTGACAGCGCTACAGAAGACTACATCTACTGGAGTACACAAACTCTGTGCCATACCCAGCAGTGGCAGCCTCTGCTTCGACCTCAACATTCTTTTTCACTTGTACATTGCATGTAAACCAGAACCTGTTAATCCAAACAAAACTCACTGCATATTTACTTCATGAGGAACATCATGAGTATGAATAGGGCCTGAGGCCAATGTGACAAGATTGGATCACCACTCAACTGTTAACCCTGAGGTCTAGAGTTAATTATTTCTACTGCTATACTACTTAAAGGCAATCTGAAATCAAAACTGCCCTTTTTGTACCTTGTTAGTTCATATCCCTTGTCACATTCAGCACCATTCATCATACGTCATCTAAAAGACAAGATTCCTATTTTCACACAAGGCTCCATCAAAACATAATGACCTTTGTTCATCTTTAAAACGTCTTCTGAATTTTCATTACGACACTGTACACCAGTGGGCGGAAAAATTCTATTAACCAATAATATCTTGTATCACCTCCCCCACATATCATTAAGTGAAACACTCAGCTAGCTCAGAGAATGTTTTACTCAGATATACGTCAACGTGCACAAGAAAAATGACTTGTGATTTCCAATTTACATAACCTTTAACTGTAATTAATTTATTACATAATTAATTAGATAGTTAGAAAATGAATTACATTTGTATTTGAGTCAGACTGTAAACTAGCAGTTTGCACTTCTGACCTTCTTCTATTTGTATAAATAAATATCAGCTATTACAAAAGTGACAGAATTATAAATTGTTTTTTCTTTACGCAGAACAAGGTTGTCTATTCAAATCAAATTCGGATCACAGTAAGACATGATCTCTTCTAGTTCCAAACACAAATGTGGTATCACGCGAAAGTTTAGAAGCTGACTTTGAATTCATGCACAGTTCTCTGCTTGTTTCAGTGAGCTGCGCTAAGAATTCATTAACATATCATTTGAGCACAGCAGCTTTCCTTTACATCACATCAGATTTTCATGATGAAAGGACCAAAAGAAATGTTCTGAAATTATTTGGGGAAAAAAATCTCACTACTTTGACTTACAATAAAAGTAAAGAAAGTTTTTGCCTTCTTCTGTAAAGTTACCTTTATGCCCTTTTGTCACTGTCAGTGATAACTGCAACTTCTAAAGGTTCACTGAAACAATATTGCTTAGAATATTACAAAAAGGCTCACTATAACTCACTACAAGTTTTAAATGACAGACATCAGCAACAGAAGGTCTTACATGTTCAGCTGCTCCTGAACGGACACAGAGTTGCTAGAGGTCCAGTAAGTAGCTCTGGTCTGCCTGTCTCCTGGCAGGAGACTTTTACCAGGGCTAATTCAGGAGGTGTCACTGGACGCCTGGCTACAAGCTCCACACAGACTTATATAAGTGAACCAGGCCAGTGAAATTAAAAATGGTGGTGGGGGGAGTGCTGGGGTGGGGTGGCGAGTGGTTTAATTTAGGAAGTGCTCTTTCACTGCTATGTCACACACCCATGAGAGTATTAAGAGACCCAGCTTCCTTCCCCCGGTTCCCCAGCTCAGAGGCCACTTCCACAACCACGAGGAGGAGTTTGTTTGTGTGTGTACAGAAGGAAGAAGGAAGCCTTGATCAAAACATTTCTCTCATTATCTAGCTAGACTGGTGTCATACCTCGATTTGACTAGCATTCTTACCACAGATGGTAAAAATGGTTTGAGGCAATTTCAACACTTGCGTGAATGGAAAATGATGTGGTGGCACACCAAACTGTTTTTGGCATTAAAACAGGTCAGTGATCTCATTTGAGAAACATTAAAGGGAAATTTCAGCAATTTTTCAATCGTTAAGGTGTAAACAGGGTCATTCCGAGTGGTCTGATATGAAATGGTGCATTGTACTAATCTCATGGACTTGGATTTTCTTTACACTGTTGGTGATAGGAACCAGTAGTCGCAATGTCTTCCACACAACATATATTCATTTTATTTACTATCCAAAACCACCAGTGAACCTACATGTTTTCTGAGTTTCTGTTGACAATGGTAAAATAGTGTTTTTCTTCAAAGGTTTCTTTGGGGACTATTTTGCCTCACAACACCTTTCATGTACCTCTCCACCCCACTTGTTTTTTAAACAATATTATTTGCGCCAAATGCTTATTGCAAAACTACCGTAAAACAGTGCATCATGCTCTCTGTGAGGGAGCTTTTAGAGGCATTAAACCCTTCGGATGCCAGGTTCCTATAACACCACTGTGAACAGTTCTGACTCGGCAATGTTCTCTAAAACAGACCATTTCACTTCAAAACAATTTGAATGACTTAACAATTGAATTCTGCAGAAAACTTTCCCCTTAAATTGAAACCCTTTCTTCAGCTTGAAGAGAGAATATTAGGTTTGTCATTTTTAAAAGCGTACAGCATGCTGTGAAGCTTACAGGCCATCTTCAGGTCCTTTTATTTTGACTCATTTCATTGCTTAAAATGCTTTAAATGTTACCGCATATCTGTTTCTTATTTCAGAGATATTTCAGTTGTTAATAATCAAATGTTTCTTTCTTCAGTTGTCAGTTGACAAGAAACAGAAACAAAGCTGTTCAAAAGCAGTCTAAAAATACACTGTAATGAGGAAGCCCCACAGCTTGTCAGAAAAACACACTAAACATTTCAACCTTCCACATCTGAAGAAATACACAACATTTGTCTTATAATAGCTATTAGTAGCAATAATCACATATAAAATAGTTTGTCTAAAATCAGTATTTTTCTTTCCTATCATAATGAATAACACTAGTCAAAATGTCTTCTATCACAATAAATGAATTTTTTTGCGTAATTATTTGTAAACTGGGAAAAAAAACTAGTATGTGAGTCCAAGTGCACTACTACAATAGATGACTTTTTATTTTGAGTGTTGGGAGCAAACAGACCAGTCACATATCACTGAATATTCCAGTCTTCTGGCTGAGCTTAAACCAGCTGTCCACTGAAATGTCAGTGGCTCGGAATAATTACAATTAATATTTTCATTTAGAATGAAACGATACTAACCAACTACTGAATTCAAGAGTGCTGTAACTAATATTGCGAATACTATACAAAGATTTAACGCTGCCGATGTGATCTGACCGTGGCGATGTCATAGCGCAGATTCTGTTGTAACCTTTCCCAGCTGTAATGTTTCATCATTTAGTGATGAAGATGATGACTATAGACCTGATGTCATATTGAGACGGTGAGCTGGAGGCTGAGTATGAGCCTCAATGGCCTCACATCTGTTTCACAGGCACCTATCAATGCGGTCATGAAGACTTTACGTGACCGGTGACTGTATCACTGACTTCACACCTCCATTCCTCATCTTACAGCACACAGACTAGACAGTTCTTCAGCAGTTAACATGTATGATAATACGTCATTTTCACGACTAGTACAGCAACAGCCATCACCTGCCAGAGGCAACACATTTACAACCATTACAGGATTTGCAGCTACACATGACTTGAGCATAACTCAAGGGGGATCTGTCTCTACATTAAGGTGTTCTACAACATGTGTAGAAATGGATCCATCAAGGACCAGGCTGTGTCTACTTCTACAATTGTATATTCTCAGTGATAAAGATAGAGAGACCATTGACTGACTCAATTTCTAATGAAAATTTTGAGGGAAGAGCAGGGAAATGGCCGAGAAACTTGTGATCAATACCAGTACAGCAAAAGTCATCACCTAGCAAGCCAGTATCTGTTATACCTAACAATTCTAAGTTTGTGGCAACATACCCTTCAGTGTCAGTGAGTCAAGATTTTGGGAGACCGAAACAGCTGGTGTCTGCTCCTGCATTAGGCCTGCCAACAACATATATATATATATATATATATATATCCTCATATAAACCCATCCAGGCCCTCAGTTCTAATTATACAGTCTGAGTATTGTGAACAGTGACACATCAACAATGGCAAATACCTTAGATATCTTGAGGGACTGACATGGAAACAGTGGGGAGCTAAATCTGATGACCTGAGTTTGAGTATTAATTTAACATGTCATCCCATCTGATTAGACCCTTTCTGTGGTTAAACTGATAAACGGGCAGCCTCTTCACTTCCCTGAGTATGAACAACCTCTAGCACTTCTTTACGCACAGGATGCCCGTCATCCTCACTGATACAGGCCTTCACCACATTCAGGTCACCCTCTGATGCTCACTGAGGTGGGCATAAGTTCTCAGATAACTGCTCTGCCCAGCGAGACTTAACATCCCATGACACAGAACTGAAAAGAGCCACAGGTTCATAAAGGGAAGAGTCTGGAACTGGCCAGAATGGTTCATAATGTTAGCAAACACAGCTAACGTGAACAGCGCGTTCACCCCCAATACAAAGCGTTTATAGTTCCTCTAGCCCAGCAGTCTGTCGTCTGAGACACGTTTGGGAAGTTTAGTTCTGTTTAACCGAGGTAACAGTCCTCAGTTATTTCTGAGTAACATGTTTTACAGTCTTAAACGACACTGAAAGTGACCTTTTTAACGCAGTGACAGTGTTACATGACTGTGAAAGGCTGTCAGGCAGGTCCCGAGTTTAACCACAGGACAAGTCGGACAAATACTTAGATAGAAATGTAAACATTCACACAACACACTACGCTATAACGAGGTAATAAACCCTCCAGTCTGGTTCACTTTGTGGTATAAACAGGTCAGCCTAGTGTAGCACCCAGGACACGGTGTGACTTTCGCCTCTCCCCGGCTTCGCTAACTTAACCTCCCAGACATTTCGCTAAGTTAACTTACCGCCACGGAAAAAGACAAACTGGAGAACATTTCGGAAACAACGTCCTCAGCGCCTGCTCCCAGGGGCCTTCTCGAAAAGTGGTAAAGATAAAAAAGAAAGAAGTAACATAAAAAAATGAACTTTTAAAAAGTTTCACTGGTCACCAAACTTCATCTCGAAGATGAGGTCATCGGGGTAAAAATAAAGGGATGGCGTCATTCGAAACCAGTCAGTCCCACCGCGAGTGAAGTGAAGGGAAAGGCCTTCAAGACACGAGATCTAAACGGAGACTTCCTCGACGAGAACTTCGAGTCGGTTTTCATGGAAGAACTATTTTAACTTGCTCTGTATCGTCACTGGCTAAAAACACAGAATGTCTGTGGGATCTTACTAAAGTAGTTCCTAAGTAGTCTGCGCTAGTTGTGCTCGACAGGCCCATTGGCTAGCATGGGTTTAAAGTTGGAGGCGGAGCTTCGGTGTGTGGTGCAGTCAGTCAGCAGGCTGAGCTGCTGTGAAGGCTGTACAATGTGAGCTTCATTCTTAAAGGGGAATTCCACTGATTTTTCAAAAATTCTGTATCATTCAGTCATTTAGATGTAAACAAAGTCAAAGCCGGATAAAAGTTTGCTGTGAAATGATTCATTGTAGATCTTGGTAACCTTTGGCTAGATTTTGTTTTCACAGTGGTAGTGACAGGAACCAGGGGTCACGGTGTACACAACGCAAAAAAATGCTATTTTGTTTACAATTCAAAACTACATGTGTATTCTGATATTGTTATACGTAGTGCTGATAATGGTAACGTAGTGGCAAATCTGGAAAAATAAGTATTATTTAGGCACTATTTTGCCTCACAACGGCATACATGTTTCTCTCCACCATGAATGTTTTTTATATATATGCATCTTTACTTACTTTGAAAAGCAACGTCTGACACATCAGACAGCATATCCGTAAACATATAATGTAATAACTTTCTGTGAGGGAATTTTTAAAGGCATCAGATATCTGGTTCCTGTCACCACCACTATGAGCAATTCTGACTGGCAAAGTTTCTAGAATGGAGCATTTCACACCAAACCACTCTGAATGACTTTGCTTACATCTCTACTATTTAATTATGCTGACATTTTGAAAAATTTGCAGAATTTGCTTTTAAGGTAGTAGTTACATCAATAGTGGAAAGAAAATTAATGTTATTAATAATATAAGAAGAAGAAGTATTGTGATTATATTATTATTAAATTATAGAGAGGAAGAACTGCTATAATAGTAGCATACTAAATTAGAATAAATGGGATTAATAACTAACAAAATTAGAAATTATAATTATTAATATCATTATTTTTATGAAATATTTCACTTTATTTAAATCATTATACTGCCATAGTTATTCTATCCTATAATGTTATTACTATACATATATTAACTAAAATAATTACTATCTATAGAGAATCTAGAGAGAAGGCCTGTATTGGTTATGACAATTATCATAATAATATTTACAACCAATACACCAATACAAGGTTGACAGAGGTCTCTATGGTAATGAAAGATCAGATAGTCTACTGTCTGCAATCCTCTGAACAATATGAAAGTGCTCAGAGCAAACCTCATGCTGAGCTGAGCTTCATGTCCCTCATGACACACAGGCTTTGATATCAGAAAAGGGCATAAAAACATATGTCGCTTAAAGGAAAATCAATATAAGAGCACCCTTGAGAGGAATGTTCCTGTGCCTCCTGCTATCTCTATTTGTGGCCCTGTTCTTCAGTAGGCCTTTGTGTGACATGTTTAAGATACACATGGTCAAGTTATAGATTTCTAGTCCCTGAATACATCTTAAATCAGTCTTATGTACTTTGGATTTGCCACCATGCTAACTTTGCATTTATGCATTTGGCAGATGCTCTTTTTCAGAGCGACCTACAGTTTACTCACGTTGGTATTAGGACTCTTATTAGTATAGTGTGGTGTGCTTGCCCAGGTGTGGAATCAAACCCCGTGTGCAGCATGAAGGGCAGCAGTATTACCCACTGCGCTACACCAACTGCTTATTTCTCTTCTTCTTCTCTGCCTTCCTAATACTTTTTGGTCTTCTTTTTCATTGTGTTCAGATTGGGTGTCTCATATATATCGTAAATATAAAAAGAATACTGTCAATTTACACATATAACAAAACCCATTCTGCTAGCTGTTTATGGGTGCCCACACACCAAGCGGTTGCATCCCTTATTACACAGCACACAATATCTAGTTTATTCTGAAGATGCAATACACAGACGCTTCAACCAAAAGTATTTAGTTGGCAGTGGGAAGTTGGAAGTAAACATGAGGATTTAAAAACCATAGAACAAGAAGCATTAAACTCAAATTACCACAGACAGATATAAACAGACTTATGCACCAAGTTATTATTTCACCATGTGCTAGGTAATTACAATGTACCAGCTACACCAGTCAAAACCTCTTTTTGCACAGATTACACAGATTCAGTTCAGTTCAAAATATGTGTTTAATTTAGTAAAAAATGTAAGTTGTTTTCTTTTGGTTTAAATAGCATTTGAACTTCTTCTAGTTTCATTTCAGCATTATATGAAAACATAGTTAAAAACACATCCCAAATATATATGTCTTACAATGGCCACAGCATATCAAAGTACAATATTGACCTGCCGTAGGTTCTATAACACTGCTGTAATCACAATTACAAATTAAACAAATCCAACATTTTCTTTTTAAATAACATTTTTTATGTTCACAAATTTGATCCCTTAAGACCGACTGGTGATGTTACCGGTGTTGACTGAACAGCCATAGATACTGTGCTGTGTAAGAAAGCCTGAGACAAAACAGAATGGGTTTTCATATTGGAGCAATTAATGTGCATGGTTAACTCAGACTATTCAATCCAAATGAAAGGCCAGAATCGCTGTAATTGTCAGGAGACATTAGGCACAGCTGAGAACACAGACTGACCAACAGAAGGACTCAGTGGGTAAAGAGTGTGATATACTATGGAGTGTGGTAACTTAATTAGGAGACTGAACCTGTCTTTTATCTTTGGGCTAAATAAATAGCGATACAATACTGCATGCCCAGGCAAACACAGAGCGAGTTCATACAAGTTTACATATCACTGTTGTCAGAAGAAAACCTTGTATCTCCAAAATGGTAACTTTACAGGAGAAGGAAAAAGCACACTTTACTTTTAATGTAAGTCAATGGAACCAGACTTTTTTCAAAGTAATTTTAGGCCGTTTCTTTTGGTCTAATCATCATTGGTATCAGGCACTTTCAAATTATGTCAAAATCTGAAAAACGACAAAAATGGAGATATGTGGTTTTCGTCCGACAGCAGCGATATACAGGTGTTTCTTTTGGCTGTCTAACTTAAAACAAAATGGACCTCAACAAAAATTCTACAAATAGGCAGTTATACAAAATTACATGTCATTTTTAAATTTGATTATGATTGCGGTGAAGACATTTTTACTGTTTTAGAGTATAAATGGTAAATAGCATGGCTTATTGCATTAGCCTGTTGAGTTAGCTTTTGCAGATAACTCCTAATATATCTGCATTTAACATAAATATGAAATTGTTTTAAAAGTCTATTTTAAATGCATTATTTATAAACTGTATGGTAAGGACATACAGTCATTTGCAACAGTTTGGACACTCACAGTCAAATTACATGTTTTAGTGAAAGTGAAAATAAGAAAGCACATTATCTATAGGAAACCAACTTAAATATGGCATTTTTCTTTAAATTATTTGCTGAATTTATAACACTGAAAAAAAAAAAGTTCAATGCAATGTCAATTGAAAAGTCATCTTACACTTCTTTTTATGCATTTAAAGACTAAAGTCACAGGTGTGGGACCTGAATAAAACTGCCATTTTGACCCAAAATATTCTTCATAAATTACATAACAATTGCAGTTAGCAACAATTTTGTGTATATATATATATATATATATATATATATATATATATATATATATATATATAATAAAATGTGTTAAGACACTAATAAAATATTTTCTATGCTTCATACTAAAATGTAAACACATATCCAAAAATCCACTGCAGCGACCTGTAGTTGCAGAAACACCCATACATGTTTTACTATTTGCTATTCAGTCTAAAAAAAGAAATAAAGTATTTCTGTTTTTTATTTTGTTCTTTTTTTCCCTCAGACTTCGCTCAAACTACACAACCATACACAAAAACTCCAAGTCCCAGCATGCATTGCGCACAGAAGGCGTTGCTCGCTGATGAAAACAAGAAGTCTATGGGCGGAAACGATGCTAAAAACATTGGTTGAACTAAAGGTTCCTTACGAGCGTTTTGCTGCCGAGTTCATAGAAGATACAGTTTGGAACCGGGGCTTTCGGGCATTCACGCACCTGTCTACACTGTGTAGATACTGCTGGAATTAAAAATAGCTAAAGGTGTGTCTGGAGAAGTGTTCAGGAGGTTGGTTAGCAAACAAACTCGCTAGCTGTCTGGCTTCACAAGCGTGGGTCAGTCATCTAAAATGGATGACAGCAAGGTAAGCGAAACTAACTTAAGCTGGCTCTCATTTCTGAAAATAAATCGGTGATAGGTCGTCGTAGCATGCTTTGTTTTGTGTTTTTGGTATTACTAGCTAAGCTACGGTTAGCCAGCGTCTGATATCGCTCGAGATGTGCTTGGTCTCCTAGTCAGCTGACTGAAGTTACTAGAAGTTTCTTCATCTGAGCACCGAAAGAACCCCCATTATTAACGATATACGCCAAATTTTATTCAGTGTGCCCATTTAAGACTTGCAGGTTAACTAATAAATAACATAAGTGTTCAGGTTAGGTTTAGTTCGCTAAATTTAACTTAGGTTAAACTCGAGAAATTGGTTAAATTCATTTACTCCATATGAAATGATTATACTTACATTGAATGTATTTTTCTAAAACACATATTGCGATGAATGTATATCTTGCTATTATGTTTTTGGTTTTAAGGGTTTGACTGTTATGATAACTTACATAACATAATGGCGGCCCTTGCTTCTCCTTCATAGATGGTTGGTGGAAAAGTCAAGAAACCAGGGAAACGCGGCCGTAAACCTGCCAAGATTGACCTAAAGGCGAAGTTGGAGCGAAGCAGACAGAGTGCCAGGGAGTGTCGAGCCAGGAAGAAGTTGCGCTACCAGTATCTGGAGGAATTGGTGTCCAGCAAGGAGAGAGCCATCTGTGCGCTGAGAGAGGAGCTGGAGATGGTTAGTGGCTTAAGACACAGTCTTCATGAGCTTGCTTACACCTTGCATTAATATGTGTTTAAGGTCCAAAATATCTAGTTTCCATTTATGTGCTTTACTACAATGCGTCCCCAGTGTGACCAGGTTAGATCTAATTTTACCTGTGCTTAAAAAGTACATCAACACTTAAGTCATTTACGTTTTACATGTATTTCCTTTTTACACTTCTGATGGCACAAATTGACAAGCTTGGCCCTGAGTACAAGTAGACACTTGGTTTAGGGATAACCCCAACCTCGCGTATCCTTCATTCTGTCCTCTGGCATTTCCTTGTTTGTCTTCTCACCTGCTAACCAGTGCATGGCAGACATATTTCAGCTCACATAGTTGTACACAGATACACAAAACCCATTCTGTTTATACTTGTGTTGAACATGGTCAAGGTCTGTCTTTGACCACCTTCGAATGTGGTTTGAGGGATCCGATTGTAATCCGATCACAGTTGGTCCTGGGTGAGTTTACATCTGGCGTTTTATGTGGTCAAGTGAAATATGAATGTGATCCCAAACACTGAAAACGCATGTTGCAAGGTATAAACAGCCTCTGTGTTTTAAGAGATTCTTTCAGCAGCCTTTGAAGCCTGATTGTCAAAGCATAGGCAAAGACTTTAAATGATCCACATGTCTTTGAAATATGTAACTCTTGACAGTGTGGTCTTATTTGAAACCTCTCTCTTCTTTTAATCCTCTAGTACAAGCAGTGGTGCACTGCCATGGACCAGGGGAAAATCCCATCTGAAATAAAGGCTCTCTTAACCGGAGACGATCAGAAAACCCCTCAAAGCACCAGCACCAAAACACCCAAAAATGGCAAGTACTCAACTGGGATCAGCCAGAATAAGTCAGCTTAGGTAAAGTCAGAAGCGTGTTTTGACATGTTCTCTGTATCATGGAAAAAACAACAGAATAGATGAACCATATAGAGCTGATATGTGTTAAACTCACTATATGAAGGTACAGTGCAACAGCCACATACCATCAATACATTCTGGCTCTGTTTATTTGTATGGTTTGGAAAAGATACAGTATGGAACACTACATCTCTTAATATGAAAGTATGCAGTATTGTCTTTGTAATGCCCATTATTTGGACCCATGCTTACTTAGAGGATTTCCAGTTATTTCCATCAGTTATCTCCAGTGTAGAACAAGGCGATGTAGAATGTGTTCAGGTGAAGAAAATTAAAGCAAGTGTTAAGTTCTTCTGGAGTCCAAATTAAATCTCAAAAAAAGTTGTGGGTACATGGCAACCAACATGTGCAATAAATCGCAAATACCAGAAACCCTTCGAAGAAAACAAAGGAAAAAAGACATACTCACCTTGGGTGTTGTCAGAATAATTTAGCTTTGCTCTAAGCACTTTAAAAAAATTGAAAATTTGCATAGCACTGGTTAAAGCTCTTATTTTTTTCTTTATTTTTGAAGAGATGACACAAAGTAATTGGTCTATTTTTGAATATATTTATTTCCTTAACTAAAACAGAAAGCACTTTTTATTTGTCCTTAACTCAACTTGTTTAGTGGTCCAACTGGCATTTTGATGAGAAATGGCTTTTGCTTTGCTTGGTTACATTTTAAAGGAAATTATACTTGCAATATCAATATATTCCTTTTGTGACCTGGTCATAGTCCTCCACTTTCTCACCATAAGAAGATGATATTGTGGTTATACCACACTGACAATTTCAGTTATACATTTTATTCCTGAAGTGTCTGGTCTTTGTGTTTAAACTTTGAATTAACAATCATGTATTTTGTTTTTGTCAGATGTTTGATTTTTTTTTCCATTTAGAATGATGTTGAATGTATTTATGGTTCTTAACCATATTGTTGAGTCTATCAATCAGTCAACCATTTGAAAACAAGTGAAATGAACAAACTGTAAACGCTATTTATTTCCATTAGTTCTTTCACACCAATGTTCAGATCCTGCATACCAGTGTAGAGAGTGCACTAAAAGAAACTCTTGATATCTGCTTATTCTTGGCATAATCCAGATTTGTTGCATGTCCAGCAAATGAAGCAAATGCAAAAGCATAGTCATGGTACTTAAAAAAGCACGGCAGATTAAATTTGTTCGTAACTTTCTGTTTTTAAAACTATGAATGGGAGTGAAGGGGTCAGAATCTGTTTAAATAAACTATACAAACTAGTGTTGAATGCAAAATCAAGACTCTGAGCAGATGGAAAACAAAATAAATCATAATGACTGGATCAATCATTTGGTGTCTAAACAAACACAAGATATATGTTTGTACGTGTTTTGTTCCCCATTTTCACACCTGTCCACTTCCAATGTTGTGACATTATTTAGCACAGAAATGTATATTTTTATATTTATATCTAAAGTTGTGTACAGATATGTTGGAGGATGCTGAAAACATTTGTACATGAAACAAAAATAACATACACGTGCAACTGCTTTGTTACCATAAAATCTGTTCAATAAGAACTAAGCTGATTTGTGTATGTGTTTCTTTTCACTACTGGCTTTGTCACTCTGTTCATTATGAAACCAAGAATGGCATAATTGCTCTGGTGAACATAGTTTTTACACTAACATTACATTGTTTGGGATGAAGACATCAGTATTCGTATTCATCATTTTGTTTCTTCTCAACAACAGTTTAGTGTTGGTCTCAGATATGGCCTTTATATGAACACTAAGTTGCCAGTTTATTAAGTACTTTATTCTTAAAAATAAAGGTGCTGAAAAGGGGTCTTCACCTGGTGTCATAGAAGCACCAATTTTGGTTCTCTAAAGAACCCTTTTTCATGGATGGTTCTTTAGAGAACCATTTCTGTAAATGATATTTGTGAGTGCAAAGAATTTTAAAGAACCTCTATGTTGTGTAAATGTTCTAGGAATAACCCTTAAATTGGTAAAGAACCTTAACATTATGTGAAGGTTCTTCATACCTTTAAAAAGTTCTTCAGAATCATAAATCTCATTCACAAAAATGGTTCTTTTGAGAAGTAAAGTGGTTCTTTGACATTGCTCAAAGAATACCTTTTTTAAGCTACCTTGTACCTACACTCATTTAATCAGATACATCTACCTTGTAGGCGCATGTTATAGGGTTACTGACTCAGCCCATCTGTTTCTGCACGTTATCAGCCCCCCTTCCATCAATAGAAAGGGGCCATCATAGGGTATTATTTAGGTGGTGGATCATTCTCAGCACAGCAGTGATGGTAGTGGCAAGTTATTATGTAGACCTCAGTGTTACTGCTTTGTTGAGAATAGTCCATCAACCAGAAATATCCATCCAGCAGTGTTTATGTGGTCAAAAAAGTCATTAGTGATGAAGGGAAAAGCAAGACACCAAACACCAACTAAGCACAGAGATACATCAGCTGTAGTCTCTAAATGTATATCTGTGTCTAATTAAGTGGCTAGTTATGTGTACAGTTAAAAAAAAAACAACAATGCTGCTGTACCTGGTTCACTCGTACCAGTGCCACATATGCCACCATGTCAGTGTTACCACTGTGCTGAGAATGCTGCGCCACCCAAATAACATCTGGTCAGCGGTGGTCCAGTGGTTTTCTCTTTCTATTGATGGACGACATAGAGGGTGGGTGACTACACCCTCTACTGACTACAGTCATTATTATATACTTATAGACTCTATATGGTAAGTGTATCTGTTAAAATGGCTAGTGTAGTTGCAAAATTAGTTCACCTAATAAACTGCTATCTTAGATGCTTGGCAGACTTTGTTAAATTAGATCCACTTATAATGTTTGTATGATTTTATTTACCAAGAACAGTCATAATTATTTTTTACCTGACCACTTTCAATCTTATTTATTCATTAAAATTAAACAGGCTGTTTCAGGTATTGTGCCCTTAAGACTGATGTATGTAAATGCACTCTATTCTGATTGGCTGCACTGCATTGTGTCTCTTGCAAAAAAGCAGTCCAGGCTGAAACACTCCTTATATTTCAGCATGAATGGGTGAAGCTGACTGTTCTAGGCTGACTGTATTGGTTTTTGTGGTTAAACAGCCTTTTTTGCAGCCTAGTTTTTCATATATGGACCGTGGTACAGTTTGAAGACTTACCATCGTTTACATACGATATTAAAGTGAATAAGGTTGTTTTATAAATAAATAGATAAATAAAGCAAAAAAAATGCCATCTGTCATACATTGATCTTAAGAGAAGGTCTTTACCATAATATTCTAGTAATATAGAAATTGACCCTGAAATAGATGTATGACCAATTTCTTTATTCACTGCTCACTGTTTAAAGCGAAGTCTTGCAAACACAGTTGTGGACAAGATGTTTCGTACAGAAAGTAACACTTTGTGGTACTAAATGAGCTTATCACAGCAGTAGAATCACGAAAAGGCCCACCCTCTGTTGGGAGTGCAGCCAATCAACATTCATTAATTCTTATTTGACCTAGACTTTGCCCAATCACAACAGCTCTAAACCAAACCTTAGGTTGAGAACAGATGCAGACTGCATGTACATAGAAACAGACGTTGGCTCTCAGTCCATTTCTTTCAAAAACAGAGGTCACCCCAACATGACAGTTGTTTGCATCATGAGATGGCATGTATGATCACAAGAAACAGAATCCAAACAGTTAACATACTACAGACAGAAACAACACTAATGCTTATTCCAGGGACATATCAGCTCTGAACGTTCAACCAGCTGCTGAACGTTGAACCAGGGCTAAAGTGAAACAAAAGGCTGGACACATGAGCAAGTTTTGGACAAATGTTTCTTATTGTCATTTTCTGCTTCTGTTCATTCAGTCAGTATGACTACAGTACATATAGTACTGCATAACATACTAGTAATGTGGTTGTTGATGCTAGGCTTGTTCCACAATGTCACAGTCGTGAACCTGAGTTAGCATCCTGCATTGTGCATTTGAAACAAGTTTGGCTGACTTTTACAGCAAAATGTCACCATTGATGTTTGGCATTCCAGTTTATACAAATGTGTTTGGTGGATTGACACTTATAGGCCATGCCAGTTTTTTCTCTTTTGCTTCTCGGTCAAAAGTGTCATAGACAGAATCTTTGATCAGAGTCTTTGCAGGCACTGGCAAGTCCACCACCCCCACATAGTTTTTTTTGGCCATCCGTGAACTGGCAGTGATGGTGTATGCGTTGCTTCGGTAGCACTTCATTGATGACATGCAGAATGTCTCTCTCATGCCTCGTCTAAAGTTGGCATTGTACACCGAGTACAGCGTGGGTTTCGAAGCTGTGGAGCTGAATGACATCCAGGCGATTGCCACAAAGAAGAGTGCCCCCTGCCTGCTGGGACCAGCAGACTCCTTAGGGTGCCATAGCTGGGCTACATAGAAGGGCATCCAGGTGAGGAGGAACACAGTGTTGAGCATCAGGAACATCTTGATGGTTTTGACTTTAGTCCTGGGGACAATGTTCATGGTCCTGCGCACTGTGCGTCCATCTGCGCTGATCCTCCAAATGTACCGCACCACTCTCTGGTAGAAGGACAGAATGAGGAGTGCTGGCACCAGGAACCCGAACAGGAGGTGGACAAGAGCGTAGGCCAGACCATCCCAAGAGTCTGGAATGAAAAAATCACAGTGCCTTTCTGCTATTGATGAGGATGAGCCGTAGAAGAAGAGACATGGGGAGACAAAGGCCGCGTCGAAGAGCCAAGATGCCAGGATCATGCGTTTAGCTTTCTCCCGGGACACTTTGAAACTCAAGGGGTACACGATCGTATAGAAGCGGTCCACGCAGATTGAGAGAAGCACATATACCTGCACTCCAGGGCACAAGTGCTGGATATAACGCACTGCCTTGCAGGCTGCCGTGCTCAGAGGCCAATGTCCAGAAGAGACCTGGAGCAGAATGAAAGGAGCGCAGCCTAGGCTCAGCAGCAGGTCTGCGCAAGCCATAGACACCACAAAGTAATTTGTGGTGGACTGAGTCCTGCGGCTGCGGTGGATGACTAAACACACCAGGGCATTCCCCAGGACAGAGATCAGCCAGAGCACTCCAAAGATCAGCCCAAGAACAGTCACCTCTACTGGAGTAAACTCATAGGAGGCCAGCGTACTGTTAGGCTTAAAAGAGAAAGATGACGTATCCAAATTGCAGATTGGTGTCGGAAAGCCGTCCAGGAGCACTGAAGAGTTATCCTTCTCTGTATTGTTCTGCATCAGGTATGAGAGGAGTGTGGAGTGCCGGGAGGGCTTCACAGCATCCATTGGCAGAGCGTACATCATATCTGTAGCTACGTCAAGTGAAATCTAGAATATGAACAAAAGAGAAACATAATGAGTAAAAATTTCTCTGTCAAAACACAAAGCAAGGCATATTTACAGAACCTAGTTACTATCACTAGTTTTTCACCTTCTTTTTCTGCCTCACATATATATGTATAGTGAGTAAGTACAGCAACATAATTGCCCTTTTTGTAGATAGTACTCCAGTTCAAGGAACCAAAGTCAAGGGACAAAGATAAATTAAATTACCATGTTTCTAAACAGGTTCTGGTAGAAAGGGGACTTAGTCGTCTTCTCATATTCTCACAGCAATGTCATTTATGCATTTTGACAGCAATCAAACAAATATTTCTATAACATAAAAGTAATTTTTTTGATCGTATGTGTTTTTCGATTACTAAGCTACATGTATAAGTCACAGAATTGACATTACATAATTTTAAACACCCTCTTGATGCCTGTCATGTACCACCATTTTGAAACATATAAACAACTCACAGTGAGACCTAGGCTAAAGTACAGCCTCCACACGAGGGGGTTAGTTTTAACCCAATGTAACAGTGTAATTAAGCCTCCCAAAGTTATTTTTTGTAAGCTTTTATACACAGAATCTACAGAAACATACTATAGATATCATGCAAATAAAATATTTTAGTTAACTATAATGTGCTGTTATATGCAGTTCAGTTTTGTGGTCAGAAAAAAAATGGCCATTATTTGGCACAGCCTCTTTTCACTAAACATGATACATACGTTTTTATGTATTTAGACAGGAAAGTCTGTCTGGTTCAAATGACATAGAATTTTATTGTATTAGTTGTGTTTAAATCAATTTATCTTGATTTAGCCCTTCAGTTTGTTACAGTTAACCCCACCGGTGGAATAAGTTGTACTCATTCCGCTTTCTGCCGAACAGGTACTGGAAATAAAGTTTACATTTTTTTGTTTTTAGCAGAAATGCTTTTAGTCTTGCTCAAAAATATCAAAAATGTGTTACGCTCTGCCCTATGTGGCTGCAAATTCTTAGCATTCAACAATGGCTGCCTAAAGTCTGTGACCCAGACAACACCAAATGCCTGCTACTTTCCCTGGTGACAATGAATTTCAGTTCCTGCTTGTTTTGGATCTTTTTCTGTTCAGTCTTATATTCAGTCAGTAAAATGCCTGCACAGTCGGGTTCTGGTTTGGTGAGTGGTCAAAATCATTTTATTTGTGTGGCTCTTTTTTGGGTTTTTAATATATCTTTAAGCATATGTCCCAGAGTTCTAAAGGGGCTAAAGAGACTCTGGGTAAAAATCAAGCTTTACACTCTCTCTAGCCTCCTGTAAACATGCTTATTCACATCCTACAATGGTACTGAAGTAGTGTCTAGAGTGAGATTTTCCAATATTTTCCAGTATAAAGAAATTTCTGATGTATCTTGAGGGAAGCAGGAACTTCTGAAAAACTACGGCTGCTTTGGGGTGAATTTTTGGGGATGGGCTAACTGGCTAACATTACGGGTAGGAAGTGCAAATCTTACAGCTTTGTGGCTGCCGTAACTGTCTTCAAATCATCGCTACAATGAAGAAATTGGAATACACAAATGATACAAATGACTTGTCAAGTGAGGAGGGCAGCAAGATGAAAAGCTAAAGTTAGCAAGGTAGCTGGCTAGCTTGATAAGTTACATCAGGTTGGCTTGTTTTGTCTGGCTGAAAGGAAGAGAAGCATGTCTTTACATGCACTATGGTGTCTTTACAATTATTTTCCTCATGATTTTTTTCAAAGACAGAGGTAAGACTGTACACTAACACTAGCTTGGTTGTATTTATTAGATTAGTGGCTAGGCCAGCAGCCAGGATTGGCTAACACCACAGGAATTCCCAATGATTGTATGATGTATTTGCTTAATGTATGCTGTGTATTGTAGTGAGAGAACAATAATGAACAGAAACATGAAAACTATATAAAATCTGACACACTGATGAGGCTGGGGGATTCAATGCTGCACTACAGAATACAAAACAAAAAGCATACAAAACTCAGGAGGGGACCAGTTCATTCTCCTTCAGAATGTATCCAGCAAATTTAATGCTTTTGCTTCATCCCTGATTAATTTCTAATTATTCAGCCTTATGAAAGCTGGCTTTACGGGCACTGACATGTTTTTGGCTCTCATCAACAACAATAGATTCCAGATGCATATGAAACATCTAGGATCACTTCTAGACCCTTTGTTAGCTCTCTTGTGTAGAAACTAATACTGCACCATACAGCTGGCCAAGTGAGCAGACAATTATGTTGGGGCCCATAAAAATAAGGACTATGCATATAAAGGGCTGATTTAGATTTACATTTTTTTCCTTTGATGTTCATTCTTTGGATATCAACAAATGATGTATGTAGTTTGCTTTAATTTTTTTATATCTTAAATCACAGAACCTTGCATTGTTCATGCACTGTAGACTAAATAAAGTATTGTCTATTAATATTGCCACCATTTTCCCTGAAGGGACAGGACAAAATATGTTTCCATGGCAATGAAATCCAGCCCGCATCCTGCATGCAGAACTGCACAACATTAGCCTTTTGTGTCCACGTTTCCTCACAGTTGTCACTCTCCCACCGAGGCTTTGTCCTAGAAATGAGCTGCAGTAGAACTGTGAACAGGATGATGTCCACAGACATTTTAGCTAATTAAGATTTTCCTGTCTCAGCTGGTTGCAGCACCTACTCATATGGCTGATATGGGAATAGAAATGACAGGAGAAATTGTTTAATGAAGTCGTGCTCGCATACTCCGGTAATGACTTCTGGGAGACGCACCCTACGCTTGCCTTTGTGAATGTAATAAAGCCGTGGAGATGGTGTCAGCACAATTAAGTGGTGAATTCCTGCTGAGCACTTTTGTTGTCTAGAAAGTTGAGGTATCTTAACAGAGCTGAGAAAGCTGTGTTGAAATAACACTCATTTCTTTGCTATACAAAAATAGAGGCCAATAATGGAAGTAAACATGTAAATATAGAAAGGAGGAGTTCTTGGAAGCCTTTGCAGTTTTGCAAAAGTAGCCCTGGATAAAATGACTATTTCTCAACATGGCACAAAAGGCAATAAGGGTACATGTTTATTGACTGGCTATTTTTGCTTTTCTTTGTGCGATGAGGCAACTGATCACTAGAATCACCTTTATATGTAGAGTTGGATACTACTTGCTTAAATGTTCAAGTCTGCTTTCTCCACACTTATTTTGAATTTATAGTGATTTCTTAATAGTAAATTACAGGACACAATGGATAATTATGTCATAAAATAATAATTTGAAGACATTTTAGGCATACTAAACTCATTTTTTCAGGAGATATTTCTGAGGAGATTAAATATAATCTACTTACATAAGGAAGGTGAAAGTCTAAGAAAAATGAGTTAAAAACATTTAGAGTTTCCAAAACTGGAGTTCAAAAAATTATTAAAAGATCTAGAGAAAATGGGACTCCTAACAACCATGCAAGACCTGGTAGACTACCAAACCTGTCACCATCGGATAAACAGTAATTAAAGCTTTCATCTCTTTTAGCCTCACTCTTGCAACTCACTGCTATGAGTCTGAAAGGATGTGTAGCTGTCAAAAAGCTGTTACTGAGAAAATAAAATAGAAAAGAAGAACATTTACAAATCAAACAAGGAAGCTGCTGGTGTTCTCCGAACGATGGACTGGCCACCCCAGTGCCCAGACCTCAATATCACTGAACGTGTTTGGGATTACTTGCATTGTGAGAAGCACAAAATGCAACAAACCTCTAAGACTGAACTTTGGAGGTGTAGAAAAATAAAAAAAAACCTGCATATTTCACTGAAAAGAACTAAAGCTGTAATAAAGGCAATGGTTGAACACCTAAATACTGAAAACATATATTAAGTCATTGAGGATTCTCATAATTGTCTGTTCAATATGTTCCCTAAAGCATAAATTGTACTTAATGGACATTTTGACTGGAAATTAAAGAATTGAAGGGTGGTCTCTGACTTGCACTATGTGTATTAAAATCTCAACAGATACCCTCACACTGATTCCTTTAATTGATCCAGTGTTTGTTGTCTTCTTATAAAGGAATTCTTTCACCACCCAAGAGTCCATATGCATAAACAGTTAAGCAAATACGAAGATTTATCTTGTACTCACCTTAAATTCTGGACACAGTCTCAATCCATATTTCAGAGCAGCAACATCAACTAAATACAAGTCACGCCATCTATTGAATGACCTTCTTTGCTGAACAGAGCATGCTCTCCCAGGAACACTGAGTACCTGCTTTGCTGTCTTCTCACTTTATGTACTAACAGCAGTCCTGACCTTACTCTCATTATTCTATTAAGCGCCTTTGAGGGATGCATGATGAAGGCCAGCGTCTAGAGAAAAGGGTTATTTCCCTCTGGGTCTGCCGTGTGTTCGCGTTCCACATAGACTGATGTGCTTATCTCAGTGCCATGTTTACACTGGTGGCCTCTCTGCTCTACTCCCCTGGCAACCTTTCTCAGGTCTCCCAGCATGCCACATATTAGCAGCTCTCAGAGGAGCCCAATGCAGCAGGCATTAGCCAAGCACCACTGCTGTGGTAGACTTTAATGGCCTAGTTGAGCTCTGCATGGTTTATGCAGAGAGAGATGGCTGAATGTGGAACACAGACCTGCTGGGGCTTTTATTACGTTTTAGGGTTGGAGTTGATGAGAGCAGTAGGAACGTACATGACACTAAAGAAAACATTTCTTCAATTAGCTACATTTTTAGCAAAAATGATTCTACAGAGTAAAAAAATAAGGATTCTATGATGTGTAACAATAGCAGAACGTTTTTTGGCGCTCTATAAAACTATAAAATATTTTTCAAAGAATCACTCATTTCGCATCATAGAGAACAACTATTTCACCATTGCAAAGACCATTTTTGCATTTATGCATTCATTCTGGGTTATCATGGTTTTACATGTAACCATGACCTTTACTAAAGAACCCTAGATGGACTATTTTTGAGGGTGTACTGTCCACACATGCTGAGAATGGTTTGGTGGTTCTGAAGGAATCAATTAGAAGACTATTTAAAAATGATGCACCAATTCGGGAACTGCGGGCAAATTCAATATCCAATATTTTCATGTATATATCTTCCAATGTTCATACATAAACATGTGTAAAACAAAGAAAGTGGTTCCATATCCACCTGGATTAGCATTATATGGAGAAATATAACATTTCATCACTGTCTGAAAAAGACCTTGTATCTCCAAAATGCTAACTTTACTGCAGAAGGCAAAAAACAGTCTTTTGGGTGCATTTCTGTTGGTCAATTGATCATGAAATTTACACACAATGGGCATTATTCACCAACCATTCTTAAGAAGACATTTCTTCCTAAAACCCACTTCAGCAGTTTTCATGAAGATTCTGACATTCATCAGTGTTTTCTTTTTTGGGATTTGTTCTTAGATGAGAACAGAATCTACACACACTCAAGAGCACAAAGGTGTGAACAATTCTGCACTTTAAGAACACGTCATGAACCTGATGTAGATTTTTTCTTAGGACCTTTTCTCAAGAACACATTTAAGAAAACATTTAATAAGATGTTGGTGAACGAGGCCCAGTGTGAAGAGCAGCTGGTGTTTTGAAATTATTTGAAAAAAAAAGTTAAAAACAAAAATGGAGATATGGAACTTTAGCAAAGCAGCCCAGCATCACCTGAACATTACACTCTTCTGGAGTCCAGTGAGAACATCATGAAATATCAGACTGAAATATGAGTCAAATATAACAGCACAAATAACAGCTGTCTGATTCATCCTTACCATTTATTTATTTATTTATACATTTATGTGCAGTTCTGTTTAGCCCTTTATTTTCTAATTTGTGTGTTTATTTTTTTATCAACTTTACAGTCTGTATGCTGTGTATTACACTGGAAAAGTCAATCCTACACTCTTAAAAAGAAGGTTCTTCAAGGGTTCTTTAGTACAGGGAATGGTTCCATTTAGAACCATTTCATGCTTAAATGGTTCTTTGCTTGGTAAAATGGTTCTTCAGATGGATGGAGAATGTGTTGTATATGGTTCTATATAGTACCAAAAAAGATTCTTCTATTGTTAACCTTACCAAACTATCTGTGGTGCTATATAAAGCCATGGCTCTAAATAGAGCTCATTCTCTTTACTAAAGAACCCTTGAAGAAACCTATTTTAAGAGTGAGAACATCTTGCCTGTTTAGTAATAAATGAATTCTGACTGATGAGATTCAGTGCAGTATTTCTTGTCTCATTATTAGAGTAAATAACAGGACTCTGTGCTGGTGTGATTTGCTCTAATTTAATAAATGGTCTAATTTGTTGTGCGTGACTCCTGACCGCTGACGGACGCTCAGAGCTGTGTGGCATCGCCCTGCTTCTCCTGCTGGATGTCAACAGAATGGCACAAACGTAGCAAAAAAAAAAAGGCGCGCAGCCCGTTTTCTGTTGTCTTAGACTGAAAGAAAAGAAAACAAACAACAAACAGGCTGACTTTACGCACCTCACCTCGTGGAAAAAGCCTCGTCGTTTTCCTCCTCGCGCGGTCTCGAAAGGCCCCTCACTGCCACGGAGTCTTCGCGCAGCTCTCTCTCCTCCTTCTGCTCCACCATTCTTGAAATGAGATCTCGCTCGTAGCCACAGCACGTCGACGATGGCGAGGTTGTGCCGCACCGGTCAGCCTCGGTTCGTCGACTATGAGAGGATGTAGCTACACAACGAAGGACCTTGAGTTGATTTTCGGGAGGAATCGCAGTGCGCGGTCAGTCTGAGGACGAGGACGCGTCGTTCAGCACCGCGGACAGCGCTCCGCACGACGCGCCTCTGGGAGACAGTGAGGGTGGCAGCACTGAGCCAGCCAGTCTCCACATGCCCGTTTAGAGCACCACCAAACCTACTGTACTGTAGACAGTTTGGCAAGTCATTCAGTCATTCAGACGGCTTTCAGTAGTGATGACAGCTGAATATTCACCCACCGGCCACTTCATTAAATCCACCTCCTTGTTTCTGCACTCATTGTCCATTTTATCCGCTCCACTTATCTTATAGGAGCACTTAGTTCTACAATTGCAGACTGTAGTCAGTCTGTTTCTCTACATACTTTGTCAGCCCCCTTTCGCTTTCTATTAGACACTCCTACCTTGTTGGTCCACCTTGTAGATATAAAGTCAGAGACAGTAGCTCATTTGTTGCTGCACGTGTTGGTCATCCTCTAGTCCTTCATCAGTGGTCACAGGATGCTTTTTGGTTGGTGGACTATTTTCAGTCCAGCAGTGACACTGTGGTGTTTAAAAGCTCCAGCAGCACTGCTGTGTCTGATCCACTCGTACAAGTGCAACACACACTAACACACCACCACCACCACACCAGTGTTATTGCAGTGCTGAGAATGATCCACCACCCAAATAATACCTGTCCTGACCACTGAAGACCTGGTTTCTTTTCTTTTTTCCACTACATTCAATATTGTAGTTTTTTAATAAAATCTTATTCTTTATTGATATTGCTCTTGTGTGCATATTTTGTTATGCTAAGTGTGCTGCTGATGGAATTTAACAAATCTATGCGATGGCTGGAGGTGTCCACAAGAAATCTGGAACCGAACTTTATTCTTTAAACTACCTCACAAGATATCTACCATTTGAAAACAATAATTTTTTGTTACTTTTTACTGTATATATGATTTTATTTCCAATGATATTTGGTGTTTTTTATAAGCAAAAGCTAGATGAAGCTATATGTGCCAAGATAACTGGTTTAAAAAAAAATGAATTAGGTCTCTAAGACTTTTTGCACGGTGTTGGTCAAAATGACTGGCTGTAGCCCATCTGTTGCAGTGCAGACCTCTGCTGCCTCTACCACGTCCAACAATAAAAAGGACCACCACAGGACCACCACTAACCAGATATTATTGGTAGATTGTTCTCAGCACAGTACTGGCACCAACATGTGCTAACAAATTAGCTGTGTCTAATAAAGTGGCCAGTCAGGGAGTACTGGAGTACTGTGTTCAAAAACCCCGTCAGCCAAGACATCCTCTGTTAGATGCATCCTATGGTGTTCTCTTTCCACTAGAAGAGGACTGATAAACTGTCAACTACTGTCAGTAACTATGCATTCACAATTTGCTCCTATATGATAGGTGTACCTTATAAAATGGCTAAGGAGTGTAGTTGCAAGGTAAGTGTACCTAATAAACTGGAAATTTACTTCTCACCTTCAGCATATTCTAAGCATGAGACACGCTTTCCTGTAAATGGAAAAACAGCGTTTTGAGCTGAGCTGAGGAGTCAATCAGTCTTCATTACACATTTGGCACAGATGGCCGTCTTCAGTCATGATGGCACAGATGCAGAGTGGATGAGGCAGAATATAGATTTCCGGTGGTCCAGGAATAGCGCAGCATCAAGTCAAGTTGAAAACCTTCAGATCACTTAACTGTGTAATTCAAGGTGCTGGCAAATATGTCATCATCTTGACTGTCTGTTGAAGGTACACTCTCAAATTACAGAACAGTGAAATAATGATGCTGGTGTTTGATTTGCTGTATGTCAGAACCAAGTCAGTGGCCTGAGGACAGAGCTGTGATTACTTTGTTTATCGCTGATTGTGACACCTGATGATGATGGAGTTAGAAAGTGAGCTGTGAGCATTTCTGGGGAGCTGTTGGTCAGGTGATCAGTGATCAGTGAAGTCATACCAGAAAATCAATGAAAATAAACTGGCTCCAGTGTGACTTCACTGACCACTTCAGGAAAAAGTTCCAGATCACTACAGTTCAGAGGCTGCTTGAGTAAAACATCTTAAGTATTTATCTTAAATATGATGCTGTTAATTTCAATTTTGTATGATTTTTTTTTCGCTTTTAACTTAAACATTTCCCTGGAGAGACTTCACACAGCTTAAAGAATTCCACAGATTTTTCCTGATTGCTTAGTTCAGTTGTTGGGATGTAAACAAAGTAATTCAAAGTTGTTTGCTGTGAAGTGATTCATTGTAGAGAAACTTACTGACTCAGGTTTCTTTATAATGGTGCTGACAGGAAACAGGGGTTGCTTATCTACACAAATATAGACATTTTATTCACTATCCAAAACCAACAATAAACCTACACGTGTTTCTTATGTAATGTTGATAACGATAAAATAGTAGTAAATAATAAAAGTACGTTTCCTGTGGGGGAATGGTGAAACATGAATGGATTTATACAATTATGTTTTAGGCCAATTTCAAAACTATTATAAAAAGAGGCATCATCAGGCAGTGTATCATAACCATTTTGTGTACTAACTTTCTGTGAGGGAGATGAGCATTAAACGCTTCAAATGTCTGCTTCCTTTCACCACCACTGTGAAGAATTCTGACTGGGTGAATTTCCCTAGAAACGTCAGTGGAATTCCCCTTTAAAGTGAGGGGAATACTACACTTAAGATGTTTTATGGGTGGGGGAGGGGTGTGGTGGTGCAAATAGGCAGGTATCGTATTGCACGATTCTTTTGTAGTTGAGTTTGCACTTTAATGCCCTTGTTGAAAAAGCACCTCCTCCCCTTTAGTGTCAGACGTCTTTATGACTAAAATTGGACAATATTTTAACTTAAGCTTGCTGACGTTCACTAACGTACAGGACTATTTATAACTCAGTTTCCTCTTTAGATGGAAATTGCTTAAAATTAGCCAGTGCTTGTAAACCTTCACTTGAACACCAGTCTTCCCACTCTGGCGCAGGACATGGGTGTGTGGAGGGGGCTGCAGCAGCCTTGATTTTAGGACTGCAACTGTTTAATAATAATAATAATAATAATAATAATAATAATAATAATAATAATAATAATAATAATAATAATAATAATAATAATAATAATAATAATAATAATAATGGGCGGCACGGTGGCGCAGTGGGTAGCGCTGTCGCCTCACAGCAAGAAGGGCCTGGGTTCGATTCCCGGCCGGGCGACCAGGGTCCTTTCTGTGTGGAGTTTGCCTGTTCTTCCTGTGTCTGCGTGGGTTTCCTCCGGGTACTCCGGCTTCCCCCCACAGTCCAAAAACATGCAGTCAGGCTGATTGGACACACTAGATTGCCCCTAGGTGTGAGTGTGTGTGTCTGTCTGCCCTGCGATGGACTGGCGACCTGTCCAGGGTGTGTCCTGCCTTCCGCCCAATGGCAGCTGGGATGGGCTCTGGCGCCCCGCCGCGGCCCAGAGGGATGAGCGGTTTAGATGATGGATGGATAATAATAATAAAACATTCTGAACTTTCTAGTAATTTGAGCACTGTAAAGCAAATGTGCATATTTTAGAGTGGAGTATTTTTATATTTTCAAAATCTGCAGTAGTTCTGCACTGTTTAAATGACCGCCTTATTTTCATCACAGTGAGGTTGGAGTACAAAGAGAGAGATAGTCTATGCAGAGTTACAGAGCAGTTCTGAGCCCCAAACCAGCCTAATGTTTTGTAAACTTAAAAATAAACATCTGATCATAATAATTGTAATAATGAGTTTTTTTTATCAACTGTAATATCTCCTGCTTTGTGCATTTCAGTGTTAAATCTCACTGTGTGACACAATAGATTATGAATTTCTTAAGAATTTACAGTTCTAGCCCTTGTCTTCTAAGGTTGATTGTTTATTTATTTATTTATTTTTATAAGTCTGTGGCAGTTACCGGTACTACTGTCTTACACATCTGCTGTCCTGTTTTTGTACCTTAAACGTGGCATTATCAGTAAATTTTATATGAAAATGTCTATTATTTAATCTAGTTATTCAAACAAATGTCCAAATAATTTCATATTATCACTCTGTTAATTCTTCCAGTCACGTCTGCAAGAATATCTTCTAGTTAAATTCTCATGTGTTGTTTTTTGTGTACCTTTCTAGTTTATACACTTGTTGTTTGTTAGTCTAGACTAATTTTACTTGAATGTAAACTGTACATTACAGTCTCATTATTCAAATTTTCTACAGCTCTTGTAGTTTCACACTTTTCATCATTAAAACCTGCCAATTACAACACGCTGCCTGTTCCTTGGAGGACTTGGTGAAAAGAGGAGTTGAGCTGACTGTTAGAATCAATAACACTCCTGGAGCACATTGATGTAGAACAGGACACAATAGATTTCTGTGCCACATATCAACAATCTGATTGGTTGCCCCTCACTTTGTCCAGAAGGAGAGAGCAGAGAGAAGATGGGCATCAGTGGTTTGATGTGTCAGTTGTATGTATACTTTGTCATTTCTCACTGTTGCATAAAAGGAGATTGGACATCACTTTACATCCTCTCATTACAGCACTGTATGACATGTTCTGTTTGATGTAAATTAGCAAAATAAATAAATAATCAAATTTAAAAAGGCAAATAATTTAGCTTGATATCATGCACTCAGTTAATCAGATAATGGGAAACTCCGGGTCTACATGATTCAGACAATAATCAGATTTCTGCTTTGCAACCGGCCAATAAGCTCACAGAAGAAGACGTGACGTAAACTTAACGTAAAACTCAAACGTCATGCCTCTGCTTTTTTTAAAACTTTGCGCCACTTTACCTGCAAATATGAACATACATCATCTAGAAGATGAAGAATATTTGAATCCTTAATTTTGTCAGGCATGTAGTTGGTTTCAGTGTCTCTCCAAAAGTGTTTTGCTGCATCTGGCTGAAACACTGTTTGCTTGTTTCTGGTACCGTGGTCTGTTTTCGTACTTGTGCAGACTGAGAAATCAGAAGTAAGAGAAAGAAATCAGAATAAAAGTTTACATGCACTGAGAAATCTGATTACTGAGCTAAAATCCGGAATTCTTAATCGGATTTCTAGACCTTAACCCCCATCTAAGAAATCGCATTATGCTGTTTACACGTCTACTTCAATAATCAGATAACTGCAAAAATCCGATTATGATCGGATTATTTAATGCATGTGCACTCAATGATGTTCAAGAAATTTTGACGGCATCTTGGGTGGCCAATCAGATTTCAGGAAAGACACTGGCCACTCCGGCCGCCCCTTTAGAACGGCGTGAATGAATCTGATTGGACGTCACTCAACTAATTTGCATAAAGTTCGTTCAGAAGGAGAAAGAGCAGAGAAATCAGTGTGTCTGTGTCTCTTATGTGGCTATATTATGGTCTCTCGCCAGTTATGATTGTTGATTATGAATATGTTTGATCTGAATTATAAAAAAAAAATCAAATGAAATAAGGCAAATCATTTTGCATGACGTCACTGTCACGCATATACTGCTTAAAATTTCAGCAGCCCCAACTTAAAACATCTTCCTGCTTCCCTGGCTTTTTATTGGCCAACTGACTCGTAAAAGTGCGTTTTTGTTCATTCACATTCTCATATATATGTATATATATATATATATATATATATATATATATATATATATATATATATATATATATATAATTTTAAGACTTAGTCACAGAGAAGAAAAATCACACGAGTTTCAAAGGGAATTGAGCTCATTATTCTCTGACTCACTGCCATTTCAATGCAAACCCAAAATACACCCGTGTTGTACAGTAAACTGTAACATCATGCCTAACGAATGAAAACGTTCAGTTTCACTATCTACAAACACTGCAATTAAAATCTCTCTTTTTCTAGTAGCTGACCGTGTGCTGGCCTGGCGCAGATCTATAGAATACCCACTTTTTTCTCAGGACTGCACCACCGCCACTCAGCGCATTCTCAGACATGTCGCAGGCCGTCAGCGCTTTGCGTTGCGTGCGCCATCTAGTGTGCACATTTCTACTCTTTCCATGAACAACTGCGGAAGTACTTTGTAGTCATTGAAATAATCTGATGACTTCAAACACAACGTCACGTGTGACATACTGTTTAAGTACTTATAGATAGCTAGGCAGTCATATCATTAGCCATTCTGTGCAGAATATCAATATACTAGAGTCCAGGGCTGCCCAGAGTGTGGCCTGTGGGCGACGTTTATACCAGAAACTCCACCCCCTCAACCAATGAGCGAATAAAAATATTTTTATACCATATACAACCTGTTAAATTCGTATTTTGTCTTTAAAAATCTCTTAGAAATATATGTTTAATTATTATAGTACCAAAATATAGGGTAATGGGGGAACACGAGAGCTTCAGGTTGGTCAGTTGTCATTTGCAGATGTGTTGCTCACAGCTGCTGCTGTAGAAACATTGTCATGGCACCCAAAAGGCTAAATGCCGTGACTCTTGCCAGCGGCCAACATGGGTGTGTGACAGGCGAGGACTGATATTATCTTTATGAAATGTCATGTCATAAAGATAGATAACTAAAATTATGTGGGCACCTTTTTAAATTAGAGGGTTTTGGCTATTTCAGCCACACCCACTGCTAACAGGTGCATTAATCCAAGTATACAGCCATGCAGTCCCCATAGACAGACATTAGCAGTAAGATGGGTCATACTAAAGAGCCATGACTTTCAACATGGCACTGTCATTAAAAAATAAACTTTCCAGCAAGTCAGTTTGTTAAGTTTCTTCTCTGCCAGAGCTGCCCTAGTCAACTGTAAATGCTGTTCCTGTTAAGTGGAAACTTCTAGGAGCAACAACAACTCAGCTACAAAGTACAAAAGCTCACAGAACTGGACCACTCAGTGCCTGAAACATGCATAAATTGTATGATTTCAGATTCAGCACTCACTACAGTTTTGCAAACTACCTATATCAGCACAAGAAGTATTTGTCAGGAGCTTCATCGTTTGGTTGGATAGCGGCACAAAAGTCAAGATAACTATGCGCAATACCAAGAGTTGGCTGAAGAGATCGACAGTCCTCATTATGTTTTTTTTAAATAGTGCTATAAATATCATGGGGATATCCGATCTAATCATAGGCTGAGTGTATTGTAATACGCCTAATACTTATTCTCTTGTAGCTCAAACTTTACCCTGTCCTACCAGTTAGTCAGTATGCCACAAGGGTGACTCACTGTCTATAACATTCATGTCGTAAAATGACTTTAGGCTAACCACAATTTGTGTCTAATCATCTGTTTCACTATTATTGTCGTCAGTAATGAACAAGCCTGCTGTTATATGTAATGAATTCATGACACAGGGAACAATGACCTTTACACAGTACCTCCAGGGAGCAGAAGTCATCTATTGAGATGCGTCACCCTCTATGTAGCTCGCCCATGTAAAACGTGACATTCCTGACATGCCAAGCTTTTTTTATCACAATCCATGAGATCACAAGAATGGCTTGGAGGCATTTCTCTAACGGTATATGAACCATGTTGTGATATTGTTTCAAATAGCCACCATCTGTAGGCATGAGTGCTTTGATTGCTGTTACTGTAGAGACAGTTGAGCTATGATTATGACTGTAATACTGTAGCCGTCAGTCTTATAACTCGGTCAGCATTCATCGTGGATCCTCCACATGTCATGACCTTTCAGAATCCCACGTCCTGCATTATAAAAGTGTTTTAACTGACAGAAACAGGTCATTTGTAAGCCGGTGTGCTACATCAGTGGACATAGAAAAACACCGTAACAACCACATTTAACTGTTTAATGTGCATCTTAAATCAAGAAGGAAACCCTAGCTTTGTTGTACCTGTCATCATGTAGAAAAAAAGGCAAAAGTAAACTATGCATCTTCATTCTAAATCCGACAATGGCGAGATCTCATTGTGCATCGCTTTGGATAACAGTACTGGTCAAGTGTAATGGTCAACCTAGTTACAAAATCTGTGGCTTTATAAGCAGCCTCAGCTCCTGATTCGCAGCCGTATCTCAAACCTTCACATAATGTGGGACACTCTTGTTTCATTTAATGCCAGCTCCATGGAGATACATGTTAATAAAGCCATGGCAGGTCTGCAGTTTAAAATGGTGATCATGTGCAATAATTAAAGATGAATACAGTAGAGTTTAATTCTCTAGAGGTCTTATGTTGTCTGCTTACAAAAATGAAGAGGAAATAGATAAAACAGAAAAGAAGCATGATCTGAACATTAATAGATAATCAGTAAAGATATAATTCAGGCTTAAAAGCAGGCAGCTCCTATTTGAGTTATACATAATTAAGAAATGCGAAGTTGATGGAAAAAAAAATCTAAATGTCTATATCAGTATTTACATTTACACTATATAGCATATATACAGCTCGCTTCCAGACAGGAACCTTGGCCTTAAGGAGTGTTGGCTCATCACAGCTGTCCAGTTCTCTCAGATTCGGTCCACTTTTCTCAGTCCACTGTCTACTGTCAATGTGCCAAACCTAAAATGGATCACATAAAGCTTTGAGTTACTGGGTATCTTAACATGCTGACATTATTTGATTCGCAAACACATCTACCAGCCACTTCATTATGTACACCTACCTTGTACCTGCACTCTTTATTCATTTTATCAGCTCCACCTACCATACAGGTGCACTTTGTAGTTAAAAGTCAGAAAGTACCACAATGGCTCATCTGTTGCTGCACAGTTTGTGTTGGTCATCCTCAAGTCCTTCACCAGTGGTCACAGGACGCTGCTGGCTGGATATTTTTGGTTGGTGGACTATTCTCAGTCCAGCAGAGACACTGAGGTGTTTAAAAACTTCAGCATATATAGTATATAAATCTGATAAAATGGACAATGAGCGTAAATACAAATACAAGGGAAGTCTACTTAATGAAGTGGCCTATCGGTGTAAATAATAGTAAAAATGCACTTACTTACCTCTCCAGAAAGAGATTGTTCTCTGCCAGCTCTTTGACAACGCCCTCCATCTCCTCTTTCAGTTTCTTCATCCTGCAGACCAAAAGTGTAAGATACCAGAATGACTGAGTATGATTTAATATACATTTCCCCTGAGGAGTCTCTGACAAAGTAATGGGACAAAATTTCCAGGGCTGTCACGATTATACAATCTTAGCTGATGATTAACTGCCATATAAATATCTGTGCTCAATGATTTATTTGTTGTTTTTTTTGTTAATACTCATCTGTTAAAGTACAAGCCTAAAGTGGCCAAATCGGCTGATTAGCTATCTTGCCTTCTTGCTCTTGATACTTAGTAGCTTCCAACTGTTGCCAGAGATAAACAAGGAAACGAAAGATGGATGATACACAAGGCTGGAGTTATGCCCAAAACAGAACTTCTTGCACTCTGGGCCAATGAAAGCGTCCAGGCCAAGCCTGTCGACTTGTATCATAATGAGGGGAAAAAACAGAGGGTAACAAAAGTAAAAAGAAAACGCTGCATGTGTTGATGTGCTTTTTACATAGGAAAAGTACAATCTCATCTAAATGGAATCTGGCCAAAATTTATCCAAATCCAATCTGGACATGAAACACACGTTAATGCAAGGTGTAAACTAGCTCTGAGGGAACTAACTCAGAAGTTAGCTGGTGGTTCCCTAAGACCTATTACATATCTCAATAAACGCATCTGCTTTCTTTAGTATTACTTATTTACAGCTTGGACAACACCTGCTAGATAAAGGTTTTGCTATAAACTACTGGTGAACACTTCAAGTATTCAGAATCTTTATTCACCAAATACCAGATTTACAAGGAATTTGTCAAAAAATGTGTCAAAAAATAAATCCAATGAATGAAATATAGAAAAAGATATACTAAAAAAACTAAAAAACTAATATAAACGATGTGCAATGTAAGTTAAATATAGTTAGTCCAGTACTGAAGTACATATCAACAATACATACAGCTAAAATTGAGCAGCTAATATGAAAGCAAGTACATTCATGAAATTTGTATAGTGCAATAAATATACATAAAATTCAGTACATCTTGACTGAACTTCAGCAACCTCAACATAGGCACTAAAACTCCTAAATCAGCTTAATACACTTGATCAAATGAATCTGACAAACCACACAAAGAACAAACTGATATTCATCCTTTAACAACCATCACTGTTAAGAAATGTGTAAGAATAAATGTCTTTGTAAATGTAAATTTAAATAAATGTCTAGTGCTTTGTCTTGACTGTTAAATGCTGATCCAGCTCACTAAAACACTATAGGGGCTTATTTAAGGGATGAACTATCTGGACAGTCATTTAGGTCATGTTGTCCTGTAACCAAGGTAAGGTAGGACAGAAGTTTCCAAACTCACCCCAGGGTCATCTCCACTAGAGTGCTCTGGCTGAGGTAGGCCTGAGGCTTGATACCACTTGATGCCATGGGAATGACCTTCTGTGGCAGCTGTTCCAGAAACTAAACACAAACAGTGCTAGATCAGACATAAATCTCCTCCTCTTCCCTCCCTGTTTCCCTCCATTTCTCATTCAAATGCAACCTTTTGTCCTTCTTCAATGGGAATTACAATGATGCAATGACATTTCTGCATTCTTAAATCATTCACGGTGGTTTGATGTGAAGTCCTCCATTCTAGAGAAACTTACCGAGTCAGAATCAAAATTGTTAGTGATAGTGGTGACAGGAATCAGACATCTAAAGTATTTAATACCTCAAAAAGCTCCCTAACAGAACGTTATTACATGAAATGGTTAGGAATATGCTGCCTGATGTCTGAGATATTGTTTTAAGATAGTTTTGAGACTAGGTTTAGCCTAAAACATACTTTTAAAATACATTCATAGTGGAGAGGTAGATGCAGGGCATTCTATGACAAAACAGTCCCCCCAAAAAACTTTTTTCAGATTTACCATTATTTTATCATGATTTACATACACATGTATATGCATTATCAACAAATATAATGTACTGTATATTTAAGAATGTCAGGTTCACTGGTGGTTTTGGCTACTAAATAAAAAGGGTATTTTAGCTCAATCATTGAACTATGCAGAACTTAACTGCCACAATATCCATGACCAGACATCTCCAAATCTCTCTCTGAGACCAGCAGAGAGCACTTTGTGTTATCTTTACCTTATACACGCGCTGAATGATCAAGGTCACTTCCTGTTCCATGTTGATGAACTGGGCAGACAGTGATAGCAGCTGTTTTCTAACATGATGCACCTTCCTGTGATGACAGTACACTCATTAAAGCCACAATGCCCAAGTGTGCTACGGCACAATAAGAACTACTATTCAGAGCATCCATTTAATACCATTTCAATAAACTTAATCGTTTAAACAATAGCTTATTGACAACAATGTACTATTGTGTACAAAAATGTGAAATTCATTCAGAAGTAAATGTAAAATTTTATTCAACATGAAAGGGATTGATTTTTCTCATCTAAATCATTCATGTGTATACAGACAAACACACTGTTTTGTGGTGCAGGAAACAGGCCTGCCCTCGCTGCCAGTATCTCTGGCTGATTGGATCCTTCTGTATAATCGCCCCCAGAACATCTCTGGTCCAGTTTCCATGGCAACAGGCCAGACACACTCAGCAACAGAGGCTGAGGGAGATTATATGGAGGAGTCTCGAATGCAAGAGTGTCTTCTAACTCTCTCTCAAACACACAAACACTCTCCTCCCGCTTGCTCTTCTATTCCTGTATCCCTCCTGTGGTTGCAGTTTTGTCACAGCATTTAATAATTTACTGACTTTCTGATTCCCAATCAGTCCTGTCACTAATTAGCTCATTAGGGATGATGTGTTGCTGCTGATTTGAGCTTGGTAAATTCAGTACCTCATCCATTCCTCGCTCTTGGAGATGAAGAGACGGTACTTCATTGCACACTCATCTGTGAACAGGGCACGTGCTTTGGTGGCATGGTAAACCAGCTTCTGCCTGAATGGAAAAATGTTACCACAACACAGTGAAATTGCCAAAGTCATGTTCAAAAGAAGTCATTTGCAGCCCTTTATATTAACATCTAATGCAAAGCTCACTTGTCAAATTTGTGGATTTGTTCTTCATTGTAAGGCAGACCTGGAGAGAGAGAAACAATGACATTTCAGAAATGTGATTTAAATGGGCCCATATCCTACATTTTTCTTGAAATGTATTTCTATGATGTCCTCTGATGTTTGCGTACCAAAAAAGTCATAATTCATTTTTACGTCAAAATTTTACCACATTTTTTTATCCCTCAGAATTAAACAGGCTGTTACCATGCTCTAAAGAGCCATGCCTTTTATATGTAAATAATCTCTGTTCTGATTGGCTGTCCTATAGTAAGCCTCATTCAGAAAGCACTTGTTCATTTTCAATGTGAATAGGCAGGGCTGTAGGTTGAATTGGTGAATATACAATCGAATGCAAAAGTTTGAACACCCCCACTTAAATGACATGTTTTATATATTTTTTTTATAAATAAAAAATAAATATCCTCTACAGAGAACAAACTTAAATATGTTATTTTTCTGCAAATTTTACTGTACAACATGGTTTAACATATTGGAAAAAATGGAAAAAAATACGGAAAAGTGATCCAAACTTTTGCATATGACTATGTAAATGAGTTGATTTTCACCACATCACAAATACAATTCATTTACAATTTTTTTAGGTATATCTTAGCAACCATTTATGGACCATATATTGTAGGAAGTAAATGGTATGATTTGAAACCTTAACAATGTCTATATACTATATTAACTCTTCTATTTTAAAACATTAGGAAAATATGGCTTTCCATAGTATTGGCCCTTCATATCAGATTAGCTTCTGATATGTTGCAGAATTATAATGCTTGGACCTGTTTTGCCATACTCACGTCTTTCAGCTTTGTCTTTCTTGAACTGCTGATAAATGGCTGTAATGGCATCAAGGAGAACTTTTATTTTCTCCACGCTGAAGAAAACAAATGAAAAAGTAGTCAGGGATGTCTCAAGAGGTCACTGTTAGATACTGGCCTGGTTTTCTTGACGCTTTGCCTTAGTCATAGATTAAACTGACTCTTCAATGGAGAATCAACATTGCAATTTCCTGTCATTTCCTGACAGAGAAACCAGAACATTACACAGAAAGCAAATTTGTCCTGGGATATTTTTTTATTACCTGGGATATTCCTAGAATGTTGCAACCATTCTTATAAAGCTTGCTCATACTTCGAGCAGTAGTGACCTTAGCATCCAGTGCTTCTGCACTCTGGCATATGCGTAAGAATACTAACACAACACTCACTTTCTGTCTTCAGGGTGTGTGCCCACTTGCTGTGTCCACGTCTCTGTCAGTATTCCTCCAGGAAGGAACTTGTTTTTGATGTCTTGCATGGACTGATCCAGGGAACCCAGCGACCCAGACAGCTGGACAGAGAGAACACAAGTTTGAGAATGTGAATATATCTTAATTCATGAAAAGTAAACCCAGGCTTTTTTTCTAATTAACCACAAATACTGTATTTATCTGACTTAGTTGTTTTGGGTCAGTTGTTTTGCGTGTACGGAAGAATCAATAGCTGGACATAAGCTGGCCATTTGTGGAGAAATCTCATTTAAAGCCCCAGGGAACCTAAATCTATGCTTTGTCTAAGTAGGTTAATATTGTGTAGCTGCTTTCTTCGTCTCTTCTCCTGTTTGTTTAATCCCTGTTATCTAACTGTTTGTTACAGCTTGTATACGTATACAAACAAGTACTTGAGTTATTTTTCTGCAACAAATGCACGTGAGAGATATAGTAAATGTGTGCAGCACCCTTCTGCAAGTCATGAAATCCAACACTGGAGACATATTTGAGATACACAGAAATGCCTCATGTAAACAGCAACGTCAGATCACTCAAGACGGTGTTAATAGCAGGTATGAACAGAGCTACAAAAAACACTTTAAGCTGCCTTATTCAATTTTGAGTGAACAGAAACATGACAGATGTAGATGTAGAATAATGCATTCTTACTCGCATGGCTTTCTTGCGCAGGTCTGAGATTTCATCATATTCTGTTGGTAACATGTTTCCTTGCATTAACACTTCACACCTAAAAAAAGACATAAAACAAAAAAGACAAGGGACATAAACTAAACACAGTGGTTAATTAATGATAAATGCTGCTATACAAAATATTCATACATGCACAAAATGCACACACATCAAACGATACTGTCTCATTATCTTATTTACTGGTAGCAATAAGTCAATGACATAGATGCCAAAACAACTTCTGAATGTTATCCCATGATACAGTATTCTGTATGCATAATTGTATTAAACCATGAGAGGTATGAGGCTCTTACAACTGTTCAGTCTTCTCCAGTGTCTGGTTGCAGTGGTTACACATGTGGAAAACCTCTGCTTTCTTATGCGCCGTCTCATTGAAGTCCTCTTTCATCAGCTCTCTGTGGAAACAGTTACACTGCTGATGATGTGTTTTTCCATTCATGCCTAGGTCTTAAACCCGTTGTTTCCAACCTGGTCCTCAGGCCCAAATTTTTGCTTCAACCCAACTCGCAACACATAGGGATGCAGTCCCAGAGATACAGTGCTTTGACCATTTGTTGTTGTTTGGCTTGGTGTTCCAGCACATTAGGTTGTAAATGAAATGATTATGAGGTTAAAGTTCAGAATGTCAGTTCAATTTAAATCAAATGTGCTGGAATAAAGACCCAAAACAATAAATATCGTGGCACTGTCTTGCTTGTTTACTGACTGAATTGGGTCCAGAGACCCAAAGCTCAGATACTCTACATGCTGAATCACTTCAAAACATTAAATCATAGGAAGAAAGATTTAAAACACAGAAATATTTGAGTCAAAACCCTGTGGACTTACATGAGACCCCTTACTCCTTTCCTCACCAGCTCCTGATAGACGAGTAATGACTCTGAGGTCTTCCACAGGTGGCCCACATCACCTGCAAACGTCTGAAGAAAATTGTCAAAATGAGGTGGGTACATTACTTTATTAGCTGTATTAGTAGCTAAAAATATTTAATATATTTCATCAAAAATACTGCACTAAACCTACATCACTACTAAATAACATTACAATAAGTACAGCATTAAGTGGCTTTCTTATTTATAAAACAACAGGAAGTGATTGGAAAACAAATTAATACATAATATATTCAAAAAATAAATAAAAATATAATTAATATTGTTTTTTCACATTATGTTCAGATACTTCTTTTGTATTATTGGTTTTGTTCTTCTTAAATAATATTTTTCTTTTCTTCTAGGTAAACCATCTTTTCTATTTTCTCAAAAATGACATCTTCCAGCAACCCAAACCATAAAAGTATCTACTGTACTTTTTGGGGGGACCTTAAAACACATTAAAATGTACATTTAGAAAATGTACATCAAAAATGTATATTTATTAAAAGCACCAAAATTAGAAGAAACTCAAAACTCTAAAGTCTTCAAATCAACCTAGGAGTCAAGACTGAGACACGCAAAAACACTACTAGCAATTAAAGGCCCCCAGTATTATTACTATTAAAATAAAAACAAGGGAGCAAAAACGACTGGTGGGCCCTTTAAGCGCTCTCATGAAAATTCATAAGCTATTGTAATATCCACATTTCACTCCAGTGTGATTCGCTTAAATGAGCTTACATAACTGATGGACTCATGAAAGCCAAGATACACTACAGAGCTTCTGCGTCACTTATCCAAATGCTCATGGAATCACAGCTTTTATGTCTGGGTTTTAATTAAAGTGCTGAGAGCCCCCTGCCTGTTGTTTTACGCAGGACCAATGACTCATGAAATGTGCCCACTTTGCCACTGTCTGACAACACACTGAAACCTCTTAAAATACAATTCGCCTGAAAGGGAAAATAAAAATATCTGATCTATTTTCATTAAGGGTGGCTAAGAAGGACAAATTAACATTTGTGATGATAATTAAGGTTAGACAGCACTGTCACTGTCTCTACTGTAGTAATTCCATAGAATAATCTTGAACATTGCTCAGAAGAAAGCATATTATTCTCCTTTCAGTTTTCCTTACTTTAGCATAGCTGGCGTCCAGGTCCAGGTCGTAGCGCGGCTGTACTTTGGGAGGGCTCGCTGCAGACACACATTTCATAATAATATTACAGCAATTTTTATATATTAGGATTAAGTACATTTACTTCCATTTACAGTGTCAGGAATAACATAGGCTGTTTTGTGCTCAAAATTTACACTTAATTAAACAGATTAGGTGAGTAAATGTTATCTAGGTGGTATTATCATGACTCATGCAGCCTATGAATGATCCACTGAGGCTCTTAACTGCCAGAAAACGTCAATGGTTTGAGGTACAACTTATATACAGAGACATCTAGCTTTTCAAAATGCTTTTAATAAATTAACGTTTTCTTTTATTACTGTCACACAAAAACCTTGTCTCTCCACTTTTGTCATTTTTTACTTTTTAAATTTATATTACTTGAAAACTCTAGTTATTCTTTGCTCAGCTTTATTCATTTCAGAATGAGCAGACCGCCACAAATAGCCAAAAATGATTTGGAAAAAAAATATTGTTACATTAACTTTACAAGTGAAGAATGTTTTTGCCATCTCCTGAAAACTTACCATTTTGGAGATATGAGTTTTTGTTTTGACAGCAATGCTTTGTTGGTTTGTAATAAGTCAACATTATTAATGACTAATCAGGTTTAGTATGAGAAAAAAAGAACATATTTATGACAATAACAATAATAAAAATACCCCTTTAGCAGCTATACCTACAGCACACTTTTTCCATGTGAACAGTCAGGAACAGCTAGAGTAAACTTTATTTACAGTATGTGCCACAAAATTCCACCTCCTTGACAAAACAGAATGGCTGATGATCTCTAAGACAAAGAATTCTATTTTTTTGTTATACCTAGATACTGTCAGTTGTGACTTCTTTCAGCATTTCAAAAACTTTCTTTTCTGCTTACGATGTTTTGCTGTATTCTGCATATCAATCGGGATGGTGCGTTTCTAAATGGTATCAAAACTGTAGTGGAGAAGCATTGTGCCTCTCTCGACGCTCAGTAGAAACAGTGATACATTTTTGGGTCAAACTTTTCAGCCTTTTTCCTCCTTTAGCTAAAAACCGAAGGTGCCATTTTTGCTAAAGGTTTTTGGTGGTTGATATTTTGGTGCATGTCTAAATAAAATTACTTACTTTATTTATTTGTCAACATTCTGGTTTTATAATATTGAAAACACTGATTGCAAACTTTTGTATGGTAGTATAAACTTTATAAACTTTCCATGCAAATTGAGAAAAAGAAAGATCTTAAATAATGGATAATCTTTACTTTAAAAACTCACCATGTATTACAGGGTTTGGGGGTAAGTTGTTTTAAAGCTTCTGCCTTTTCTTTTTCTGAAAAGCTAAGTGGTTCATATTCTAGACCAGGGGTGGCAAACTGAGGTCCTGGAGGGCTGATGTCCAGCACAGTTTGGTGATTTTTCCAGCTCTTCACACACCAACTAAACCTGCCAATTAACTGCTAAGTTGAATCAGGCTCCTTTAAGTAGGGAGATCATCAATCTGTGCTGGACTCTGGCCCTCCTTGTTCTAGACAATGTGCTTGGTTAGGTGAGAGAGAAAAGGGTCTCACGGTCTTCAAAGATGAGGCCAACAGTAGTGACGAGTTCTCTGCTAAGAAGCATGATGGGATTATCCCTGGTGGTTCGGGGGAATGTTTGTGCCTGCCTGTTGGGGTCCAGGATTAGACGCCTGCCCTCGTACAGCAGCTCCTGGCTGGGAGGACTGATGTTGGTTCGTCTGAAGAGCAACTCCTGAAAGAGTGTAGCTCTGGAAAGAGAGGGATCACGATCTGGGTCAAAATGTGAGACATTCCTTAAACTCAGGTCCAACCTAATGTTGCCCTAATCTAAAAAGGTTGGTTATAATTATGGTACAGGTCATAAATAATGAATAGCTAATTAATAAATAACTGTTGGTTCATTTCATTTCCATCCCATAACATGTATGTCATTATTCCTCAGCTTACTTTCCTCTAAACTGTGGTGCATTGCATTGCAGTGCATACATTATGCCCAAAAGTATCCAGACAGCCCTTCGAATAAGTGATTTCAGCTCCTTAAAGGTGTACTCATTACTGACACATGCGTTCAGTTGTGCACACACAGGTTGTATAGTCACATTGCTAATAGAATGGGATGCTCTGGAATAGACGCACATGAGCCATCATGCCCAATATCAAGCATCCACTGGACTGTGGAGCAGTGGAACTGTGTTCTCTGGAGTGGAGTTTGTGTTCCAGAACTAATAATGACCAGTACCTGACCTGACAAATGCTTTTGCGGCTGAATACAATCAAAACATAACAGCAAACATGCCAATATCCAGTGTAAAATGCTCTCAGAAGAGTACTGGCTGTAACTGTGACAAAAAGGAGACAAACTCCCTATTATTACCCTTGATTTCAGAAGAAACATCTGAGGAGATGAGCAAGTGTCTACAAAGTTTTGCACATATAGTGTACCTGGGTGCTACAGTCATTAAAGGAACAGTTTGGACACAATTCAAATGTGCACAGTTTTCTCTGTGAACGGTCATAAATCACATAAGCAGGTCTATTTAAGGTTACTTGACAACGCACAGTGCTAATTATAAATGTCCATTACTTGATAGCTAAACTAAAAAAGCAAACTTTGGGCACTAGCCAGATCATGCCTTGGCTGTTTGGACTAAAGTCAGGGTAAAGGCAATTTTTGTAAAATGATTCTTTTCAGCAGTGCACTCACGTGTTGTATGTGTGGATGTAGACGTGGTGTAACGTGGCTTGCTGCAGACTGAAGACATACACCACAGTGCGGTGCAGAATGTCACTGGTCTCAGCAAAGAACTGGTCAAAGCCCCAGCATTTCTCCTGGTCAGCCTCCAATATGTTCGCAAGCACAGGTGTTAGCAGACTTTGTAGGCCTCTGAAACAGTTCAAGAGTAAATATTAACTGCCAATTTCTCTGATCTAGAATATCTTAGATTAATTGAATTTAACTTTTTTTATTTCAGGCTTCTTTCCTTGCTAAAACTTCACTGGTGTGAAAAACTCGAACAAAGATTTGCACAACAGTGAAAGCAGTAAGCATCCAAATCATGCCAAAGCACAGCAAACAGACAGGGGGACAGCATTCATACTTAGAGAGGCTGCAGGACACTGGCATCTCTGTGCTCCACTCAATCTTGCCATTCTCAAACTTCTGGTGTCCTGAGATGGCCCCTGATGGTTTCTCTGTAATGATCTTATACCTGCGAGAAACCAAAATAAATACTTTAAAAATGTGTGAAACAATCTGGAAAACTGGAATTTGTTCTTTTATAGCTGCTCCCAAAGCAAAATGTCTTGCTCTAAAGTATAGAGTTAATGAAATTCTCTAGCTATGGTTATTTATGGAACTCTTTGTTTTAAAAACTGATTATTTTTAATAACTAAGCATAAGACTTGCAAATTCTAAGCAAATGTCCTTCACCTCATCAGGGTGGCTCTTAAGAGTACTTTGCATAATTGATGCACTCAAATCACATGCAGAGGCCTTACATGACTTCCTTGTTCCTGCGTGGTCCTTCAAAAGGTCTGAAGGGCAGACTGCCAGTGGCAGCGTGGTAGAACGTGACGCCGATGCTCCAGAGGTCTACTGTAGCTCCGTACTTTTTCTGGTGGTCTTTCCTCAACACCGCCCGCTCGTACATGTCTGGGTGCTATTACAAACAAATAATGGTCTTTGAATATGAATATAAATCTTATAATGCAGTAATCAAAGAATAAATAGTTTATCAGTGGCTCATTAGATATTTTGTCTGACAGACATATGACACTAGTCACTGGCTTATCTCATGGATCTTTCTTGTATTAAACCCTAGTTCCTCTGTAATGGCAGTGACGTTTGGACTATTCGGTCTGAACCTGCTTTCAAACTGTTAAAATGTATGGACCACATTCCAGTGCCACTGGAACAATAACTTACCTACAGCTACCAGAACTGCAGCATTACTTTTCTAAGAATCATGTTTTATTCCATCATTCTGTCACATCTTACCAAGTACTCCTCTGTCCCATATAGTGACACAAACTGTTCATCATCTTCCAACTCTCTCGCTGCCCCAAAATCTGTCAGCTTGTAGACCGAGCGTCCATCTTCACCTATCACACGCATGATGTTCCCTGGCTTAATGTCTCTGTGCACTATTCCATACTCCCGCAGGTGGTTCATCCCGGCCACTGTGAACAGGACAGCACTGAGATCAGTGTCAGAGGAACGATTTAAAGTGCTCACAGTCCCACGTTGTCAGAGAAAATGACTGTACGGGTACATTTATGTTAATCAAGGTACAAACAATGTAAATGTACTCACAAAGGTACAACAGTGGTCTTCATGTAAAACTGTGTACCTTAAATATTTTTCCCTCCCATGAAATGATTAATAACAATCTGTATTCTTTTAATATTCCTTTTTTAAGTGACACTAATGGGGCTTTTTGTGTGTTCAAACTTCTAAAACCTCAGGAAAACCAAATCATGTATCGTGATAATTTTACTCATATTACTCAACCCCATCAGGAATTAGAAATGCAGCATTTTTCATTTTGGTTTGCAATTTTTTGTAGCTGCTCCAGTGTTGCACACCCTATCCAGTTGGTAACTGGTTAAAACAAAAACAAGTACATTTTATAAAGTTCTTCTAATACAGTTTACTGTGTTTTAGGCCTGTTAAAAAAACAATAACACCAAATCAGTCACTGTCGCATTTATTCAATAAAAGTTTAACTGGAATGAAATAATGTTGAGTCAACTAGTTAATCAAATTTTGATAAAGTAATGAAGTAATCAGTCTGGAAGGTTATAGGGATTTTGTTCCTGTTTTCAGTTATGTTCTGTGAACAAAACTGTTTTTCATTTGTGTTCCCCGCTACTGTTTTGAATGCCTGTTTTACAGTATTTTCACACAAAGCGCCCATACTATGGAACACTGAATTTTTCTTACTTTACCAAAAAAATAAAAAACCATATCGTTCACTCCCCATCTTGTACAGTCAATATTTGGAAACTAAGCTGCAAAAATGGCCTGTTTGTGATGTCACAAAAACCAACAAATTTACTTACTGCAGTTTAGGCCCACCCATGTTATTAAGAGTGTTTCAGCCTGAACTGCTTTTTGAATGAGGCCAAATATGGAACAGCCAATCAGAATAGAGCTCATTTACATATGTCAGCTTGTTTAATTCTAAGGGATAAAGCGAGTCTAGACAATGGTCATGTAAAAATGAATTAGGGAAAAAGAAAATTATATGCAAAAAAATGTCGGATAAGGACCCTTTAAATTCTCAGCAGACTAGACACAGAAATGAGTCAAGGTGTCAGTTACCAACATCCTGTAGCACAATGAGGAACTCATCTTCGGGCAGTCCGTAAGCGTTAGATGGCTCCTCCAGAACGGTGTAGAGACTGCCATATGGACAGTATTCCATAACCAGCACCTTGTGACGTGAGTTTGACTGCCAGAAAGAATTATAAGACATTAACATTTATTGTGTTTCTTTATGTAAGCAGGCCTACATTTGGCCTGTCCCTTGTTTACTTGCTCTTCACAAATCAACGCGTCAGATCATTTTTTAGACCTGGTCTTACTTCATATCATTCATACATGAACACGTTAAACAGGTTCCACAACAGTGAACAATATCTCATATGGAAATCAGCCAAGAGCGTATCTGTTGTTACTCACATAGCATGCATTACTTTCATAACAAATGTTTGAGGAAGTGACAAAGAGGCCTGTTAAGATCATGACTTGATGATTCTTTTGTTCATTTTTTTGCTGCTTTTACAGTATAAGCCTAATCATAGTGCATTAACTAACTACAGTGTATAACGCTGTTACCTATAAAATGGATAAAGGTATCTAGTAGCAGCCATCTTGAAGCCTGAATTTTGTCCATACTTTTGTCCATTTTTATAGATAAAGGTATGTCATACAGTATCAGACACCACATAAGCAGCTCTACTTAAGATTACTTACAGGCAAATTAGTCAATCTATTCCTACAAATAATCTGGAAAACATGTAGAACATACAACACAGAAGTGTTTTAGTAATGGTATCAGCACATCAGCACAGGCCCGTTTGGAAAACTGCAGAACGGACCAGAGTGCTTGTCTAAGATTTTATAAGACCCTCCCCTACACTACATTATAGCATCCTCATCTCCTTCTGGCTGACTTTACATAATAGAGGTAAAGTAATGCTCTGGATGAACCACCCTTATAGAGATTTATGTAATACTAATCAGCTGCATCAAACTTCCTTGCAGGTAATGAAAACTAACTAGAAGAGGCTAAAGTTGGATTCTTATCAAACTTTATATGCTGTAGAGACAATATTTGCCTGGCAGTAATATTTCACTTTAAAAAAACATGTGGGAAATCATTACAAGGAAAAGCAGGGCAGCAAAGACACTCAACTATACTCGAGCAGCAAATCGGTATGAAACAGTAAAAACAGCATTATTGTAGTTCATGCATTTAAACGCTAGAGGTTGAGTATCTTTAATTTTGACTTATTCATCTTTAACAATTCAGTGTTCAGCGGAGGTAAGTTTATACTAATTAAGGCATACAGTTTGCACGACGCTAAATGGTGGCGTATAAGCTTCAGTCACTTCTTAGCTTCATTAGCCTCGGTGCTCCAGTGCAAAACTTAAAAAAAGCAAACTTCCAACAAACATGTCTTGGCTGATATCTGTGTTTGTGGTAAGGGGACAATTGTGTTATCTGGCTATTGCTATCCATTCGCTATTGCTTTAAAATTACTGACATTAGACCACAAAGGACCTTGTTTTTACAGACTTACTTGCCTCAACTCAACCACTGAAAAAGCTTGTTTATTGCGAAGTAAACATATGATTGTGAAAACAAACAAGGCCAACTCAAATGACCACATTCAAGCTGTTATATGTAATGTAATAATCGCAACAAGCCTAGTGACAGATGATCAACAAACAATGAAACATTTCTTCTTTGAGGGCAAAATGCACCGGGTCACTTGGCTGTTTGAGTCACTCAAATACTTTACCTCCTCCTCCACAGCGAAGAGTTTGACAATGTTCTTGTGATTGAGCTTCTTCAGCACCTCAAACTCTCTCATTTGCACGTCCAGAGGCCGCAGGAAGCTCAGGTTATTGAACACTTTGACGGCATAGAGGTCACCCGTTTTCTGCAGGCAGAGAGATGGACACTGGAGAGTTAAATTAAGTTTAAGAGATGGAACTGTCAAACTGAGACTGAGAACCTCGCTCTGATCTTGAACAAACAGCCATTGCTAATAGACATAAAACTGAAGGGCAATGTTAAAATACTGTAGCGTCTAATACATAATAAAATCAATGCACTCACATTTTTGCAACAAAACATAAAAGATATGCAGAAACTGTTTCAGTTGTCAGAATATAAGCTCAGTGTTGTAACACATGAGACTGTATTTTTTACCTGTTTGCTTATTGTAACTTATTCCATTTTGGGTTCAAAAAATTAACAACCAGGCAAATTGTAATTTACTGGAAATTAAAGAAAAATAGAGGGCGGTCTCTGAATTTTGCACAGTACTGTATGGACCGTGATTTTTTTTGCTTTCCATGGAACAAAGAAGCACAAAGCATTTGACTATGTGGATTATCCACTACTTCATACTCCAACAGCATGTCCAGCATCTTAGATCATTTGGCAGCTAATGAGGAACTTTCAACTTGCCCTCACTGTGGCACAGATGTGCATCAAGAGGATGTGAAAAGCTGCCAGACCACATCTTTGTGGAATCCCCCTTCAGTATATTTCACTGCTGTTGATATACAGAGCCAAGAGGGAATCACATGACCCTGCGGTAACCCACATGCAACTGTCTGTCAAACACTAGCCTACTTATGAGGACAGAGTAGCATGCCTTCTGCAGACGCTGTTTACGAAGATTATTTCAGATTACAGTTTACAGCAAGCTTGGTGCAACTAGCAGTGTTGTGCATGTTGCATGCACACAGTTTAAAAAAAAAAAAAGTTTACTGTGAACAACTCATAGTGAATTAGTACACTCGGTTAATCTATTCTGCTGGCAGACAGCTGTCTGAGTACTACCTACTTTACTTCTTGCTTATTTATTTAGTTTATTACTGAAGAATTATAAAAACTCAAAACCTGTTCCTCAAAATCCTCTTGCTGCATCTTTTATGAAAGACATTTTAAATGCAAGGGACTTCCCTAGTTCAAAGCTTAAGCAAAACATATAACTCAAAAGAAATAGAGAGGGGGAGGCCTTAGGATGAGGTAATGATCGTCTTGGATGAGTGAAAAAAGGAACATGTCTTTTACTTTCTGATGTCCTGTATATGACTAATTCTACAAGTCAGCACTACGTTTCAATAAGCAGTGTTAATGTTGCACTGTTGTGCATTGTATGTAGACTTCTTCAGCTTACTTGTATTTATGATCTTTTACAAAGATACACATGGAGATGGAGCTAAAGAAAGGCTTGTGGTTTCCTCATATTTGTCAGGTTACATATACACTGTACTAGGCCACATGAACCACTGTGGGCTAGATTAGCACAAATCCTGTTTGTGTGTATGCAGTGCATGGATGCATATGATCCGTTGCCTACCTTATGCCTGCCACGGTACACGTTGGCTGTGGCACCCTGGCCCAGCAGGTCTGAGATCAGCCACAGGTAGTTAGCTGTGCTCTGCATGATGGCTTCAAAGGTACCTGTGGGAGAAAAAACATAAAAGTAAAGCCAGAGGTGGGCAGAGAAGCCTAAAATCATGTCACTGATAAAAAGTCTCAAAGCACATGTACCTACCAAAAAATAACTAGAGAAAAGTATCAGATCCAAAAACTCCTCAAGTACTGAGTTCCCTACAGAACTGCAGTGGAACTTCTTAGTACATCCAGCATCTACCACCAGAGAAAAACAAGTGGGTTAAATGTTATTCTTCTCTTATTGTGATGGTTTTTGTCTAAAACAAAATGTTAAAGCTCCAACAGAACAGAACGAACGTGAACACAAAACAAGAGTTGAGTTAGAAAGTAGATTTCTTTCCTCACAAATACACTCTAGTACACATTTTTAAAAGATGGTTCTTCAGCCTATATGTTTTAAGAGTGTAGAAGTAAAAGTATTATTATTTGGAAAAGTAGGACTATCAAAACTGTACCAGAGTAAACGAAATAAATGTAACTAGCTATAACACACCTCTGAGTACAGAATCAGCAAAGCTGCAGCTTTAGAAACAAACAAGCTCACCTTTCCTCTCTTACCTTTTTATCTTGACATTAATGTTTTGTAGTAGGCAGTATGGATGTGAGTGCCATCCACTGACTGTAACTAGATCGCTAGAAGAAGCAGCGTTTATGTCTCATCTGAAACGCCGAAAGTTTCGGTTTTGAAAGCAAAACCCAGATAACGTGTTTGACGTATCCATGGTAGATTTAGCTACAGCGGCCCAGTCTTCACTTTGACACGATTAGTGACAGCAAACTCGTTCGTACGAAGATATTAACTGGTCTCTCATGAAATGTAAATAATATTGCTGTATTCAGATACTGTACTGGTCATTTAAGTGTCAAATCATTACAACCATATCACTCAAACTGAGGAACCGTGTTTCGATGTGACGTCACGGATGTGGGAAATTCCCACCCTAACCAACATAATTCTACTAAAAACTCAGAGATATCGCGATATCAGCTCGGCCTCGCTCTGACACTCGGGCAGCAATGTGCAGACACGATTAATAAAAAAACACGGACGTATAGACGGTTATCTCGTACGGACTAGTAGTTTTCGTTTAACTCTCCGTAATACGAAAACGAAACGAAACCTTGCCTTTCGCTGTCAGTGAGACTGTTTGTCTCAACTGTAAATGCTCCCGCATTTGTAAGAAATTATACCGTTTATGATAAATAGCGACATTAAAACTCGAGTAGCTCTCCAAGTTGTTTCGTATTTATATCGTCAGCTCCCTTTCATTGGTATTTTGTCATGTTTGCATGGTCGTTTCTTCGGAAAGTGTTTATTGGGTTATCTCAGCGCTTAATCGGTCATATATGTCGTGCGTATATACACAAACACTAAAAGTCAGAGTCTGTGTGAAAACCCGTCATTTTATCAAGAGTATTATTTTGTTTATTTCCTTACCCCGAGAGCACGAACCCCTCTTCCGCTCTCCGCCGTGACGCCACCGAGTCACGTGTGAGGTGCGCTTCAATAGGACGTTCACCTCTGATCGCTGCAGTTACCGCGAAGTCTGGACTAGAGGAGCACTCACTAAACACTAAAATAGGCTGCCAAAACAGAGCGGCTTCCTATATACACCTCCATCTGGTGCATGTTCCCTGGTCAAACCAATGTAAACACCAATACAGAACAAAAGTATTTGTGATGGCTTGAGTGACGTCTAAAAGCCTTGAGTGATGCGAAATCTCCAAATGAAGCAGTTAGCAGCTTGAGTTGTGCTCAATTATACATGTTACTACGGCCGTATGTTTTCTTCTAAGTATGACTGCCATCGTGTGGTTGAAGTGCCCATTTCCTACATTTTATTGCATTTTCACCTTATGACGTTAGTTCGTTTTTTATTTATTTATTTTTACATGACCATTTTCCAACCTATTTTTATCCATTAGAATTAAGTAGACTATTTGCCTTTAAAAATGTCATGTAAATGACCTCTGTTCTGATTGACTCCTATGTGTTGGCGGGCCTTGTTAAAAAAGCAGTCTGAGCAGAAACGCTCATCACAGCCTTAGTGTGAATGGATGGTGTTAAACTGCTGTAGACGGATAAGACATATATATGTAAATACATCTAGGCTTTGTCACATTGCAAAGCCGGTGATTTATAACAGGTGGATTTTGCAGCTTAGTTTCCATAAATGGACTATATGGACTGGGTAGTATGTAGTATGTTAGGGTACTAGGAAACAGTATGTTTTGAAACTTTAACAGTGGTTACATTTAAAAAATACAATTTCATTTTCCATGAAATGGGATCTTCAGTGTTATCTGTGTTTGACTTACCACTTAAAATTCTTGCAGCTCTTCTTGTATGTACATATTTTGTGTTTCTCCTGATTACTTTCTCTTTTATTTGAGTGTACAACTGCAAATAAATTATTTATCTATCTATCTATCTATCTATCTATCTATCTATCTAAGCAACATGACTGGTAGGCTTATAGCACACAAATGTATGAATATAAGATCACGTTTTTAAAATCATACATTTTAAAACAAACTGTATTAACCCCATTTCACAGCAGTCATAAAATGCAATTTCAGGTTGTTTTGGCTGTCAGAATCTAGGTCTTTCATTTTTTCAATAGAATTACTTCGATTGAGATGTATATGATTTATAAAACTGGAAGTGAACTAAAGTTTGGTCTTTGTACATAGGCAAGTATGTCAACATTTTATAAAAGTGCTTTTATTGTGTTTTATTGTGACAACTGCACAATTTTTTAAATCAAGAAAGCTGTCCATTTTATCACGGTATAGCTGTCTTTATGAAGAGGTGTGAATTGTTTTCACAGCAGGGGTTTCTCAGCCCTCCCATTTCATCCCTAATTGCTCAGTGACAGTCTTTGGGTCAAACAGGGCAGTGTGTATATGTATGTGTTCAATAAGCCTTTTCCGAGAATAGTTTATCACATTTCTTAGTTTTCATTTCCTACTTATCTAGCATTGCCTCAGTTATGAGGGTCAACAACTTTCTCTTTGTTGCGTGCTCTCCACCTTTCCCCATATTATAGATAAGTAAAGGACTTTGGCACATTACCTAATATTGTGTAAGATGCCTAAGGAAGGCCGGCAGCATCCGGAACTATGTGCAGTGCCTTGAAATATATTTGCATCCTCCAGATTTCTTCTATTTTTGCATATTTGGCACACCTAAAGCCACACTATGTAAGTTTTAGGGGTTTCGAGACCTCTCTGGTGGAAGTGTGTAAGTGCATGCAATGCACAGAAGAATGTTTGGTAGCAATGGTTGTGCTTTGGAAGCCTTTTCTGAGCGAATGAACCTGATGATTATGAGTGCATTGACAGAGTATTCAAAGAGAACTTAACAAAAGCATGAAAGACATGTAATCATATCTTAAACAGTATACTGATGATTTTGCATGTGAGACCTAAACATTGAGTTGGAGTCTGTGCGTATGACATTAATACATAAAGGTGTATGATGTGGTCAGAAAAACTTCCACAAGTCTTACCCGACACCTCAGACATTTAAATTATCATTTCAGGCTTTGCAGGGAGACTCAGTGCATAAACACAATATTTTATAATGTTTTTTTCTCCTGACTCAATTTTAAGAAAAACTAAAGTGCAGCTTTGTTTACACTCTTTTTCAGATCTTTTCTTAGTTTCAGAATTTAACATAAGACAGCCTGAGCAAATAAAGTACAGATTTTAAATGATTGTTTCATTTGTTGTGTGGAATTGAAAATATGAAAATAATTTTAATCAATTAATCTAAACAACCAGTCTGGATTACTGCCAGCCCTGCTGAATCTAAAGATTACTTAAAAAAAACTTTTCCAGCAATGTGAAGTAGGCTGAAAGATCCCAATAAGCACCACTCTATGCTGCGATCAAAAGAAAATCTGGAGGAGATCTAGAAGAAATAAAGTAATTGAAATATATCAGTCTGAAAAAGGTTACAAAGCCATTTCTAAGTCTCTTGGGCTCCAGCACACACAGTGAGAGCCATTCTCTCCAAATGGAGAAAAACTTGGGACAGTTGACTTTTCCCAGAAGTGGCCGGCCTACCAAAATTCCCCCAAGGGTACTGCAACAACTCATCTAGGAAGTCACAAAAACATCTAAGGACCCTCGGTCACCTCAGATAAGGTCAGCAGACGTGATTCTACCATTAGATAGAGACCGGGCAAAAATTGTATCCATGAGAAAGTTGCAGGGTTGCTAACCAAAAGGAGCATAAAGGCTTGTCTCACATTTGCCAGAAACACCTTGAACAACAGCTTAAAACACCTTGTCAAACATGGCGGTGTTAGAGCGATAGTGTGAGGATGCTTTGTTGTTTCAGGATCTGTGTGACTTGCCATTATTGACAGAACCATAAATTCTGCTCTCTACCAAAAAATTTTGCGAGGGTGAATAGAGTTAAAACTAAAAGTTAAAACAGTTTCTAACCATTTGATCAAGATCATCCTTTAATTTTGGAAAGTAGAAGAATGTATTTCACTAAAAAAGCTATAAAAACTATAAAAACTATAAAAACTTAAAACCTACCTATATAGCTCTTATAACAAACAAGTATTGGGCAGCAGGGTGTTAGTGTTACTGCTACTGAGTGCTGACTGATTTATATTACTGATACTGAGTGCTGACTGGTTTATATTACTGATACTGAGTGCTGACTGGTTTATATTACTGATACTGAGTGCTGACTGATTTATATTACTGATACTGAGTGCTGACTGATTTATATTACTGATACTGAGTGCTGACTGATTTACATTACTGATACTGAGTGCTGACTGGTTTACATTACTGATACTGAGTGCTGACTGATTTACATTACTGATATTGAGTGCTGGTAATTGATTGGCTGGTAAGTGGAGCAGGCCACTGGCTGAATGAAGCGGTTTTCGCTCACTGACGTCATGTACGTTATTCCGTTATGATGTCTTACAACTGGAGTTCAAATGTGCTCAGAAATATAACAATGGTGTTAAAATATTTTATGCTGTTGTGTGTTCATGAAATAGATGTATTCTATATAAAATGTTTAAGCATTTACAAACTATGATTTTGCTCAAACACTGAACCCATTCATTCTGGACGCGCTCGGGAGCGCCCTCTAGTGTCGGACAAACCTGGAAGCCAGTACTAAGCGGCAGTTCTCTGGCACAGTTTCGTGAGACTCGGTAAAATTAGATTGTTTTTGCATGTATGATTTCTTTCTTCAGTAGCCTCCGAATGATGGGAGTAAAATGTTGCTATGTGTAGATTATCATTATTTGTTACTAAGACGATCAGCTCTCTCTTGTTTTCGTGTTAAATTGTTGCCTTTTAACCTGTGAGCCGCTGAAAACACTGAGAGCTGATTAGGGAAATAACCGTCATCCATGTTCAAGCACGACACACGAAAATGAATCCGTATGATGCAGCGCAGCGCAGAAAATCTGGAGGAGATCTAGAAGAAATAAAGTAATTGAAATATATCAGTCTGAAAAAGGTTACAAAGCCATTTCTAAGTCTCTTGGGCTCCAGCACACACAGTGAGAGCCATTCTCTCCAAATGGAGAAAAACTTGGGACAGTTGACTTTTCCCAGAAGTGGCCGGCCTACCAAAATTCCCCCAAGGGTACTGCAACAACTCATCTAGGAAGTCACAAAAACATCTAAGGACCCTCTGTCACCTCAGATAAGGTCAGCAGACGTGATTCTACCATTAGATAGAGACCGGGCAAAAATTGTATCCATGAGAAAGTTGCAGGGTTGCTAACCAAAAGGAGCATAAAGGCTTGTCTCACATTTGCCAGAAACACCTTGAACAACAGCTTAAAACACCTTGTCAAACATGGCGGTGTTAGAGCGATAGTGTGAGGATGCTTTGTTGTTTCAGGATCTGTGTGACTTGCCATTATTGACAGAACCATAAATTCTGCTCTCTACCAAAAAATTTTGCGAGGGTGAATAGAGTTAAAACTAAAAGTTAAAACAGTTTCTAACCATTTGATCAAGATCATCCTTTAATTTTGGAAAGTAGAAGAATGTATTTCACTAAAAAAGCTATAAAAACTATAAAAACTATAAAAACTTAAAACCTACCTATATAGCTCTTATAACAAACAAGTATTGGGCAGCAGGGTGTTAGTGTTACTGCTACTGAGTGCTGACTGATTTATATTACTGATACTGAGTGCTGACTGGTTTATATTACTGATACTGAGTGCTGACTGATTTACATTACTGATACTGAGTGCTGACTGGTTTACATTACTGATACTGAGTGCTGACTGATTTACATTACTGATACTGAGTGCTGACTGATTTACATTACTGATACTGAGTGCTGACTGGTTTACATTACTGATACTGAGTGCTGACTGATTTACATTACTGATACTGAGTGCTGACTGGTTTATATTACTGATACTGA